ATTATAATAATTAAACTCAGAATGCAAATCATTATCCTGCACTACAGAAGTGGTCACCTGAAAGTATGTAGTCAAGGTCCAAGCCTGTTTTAGGGTCCAGTCTGTTTGAGTAGAAGCTGCAGGCATGTCTGATCAGATGGTTTATAGTTTTTTAAATAAAATGGTTTTAAAATTGGAAGTAGAAACTGAATGATGCCCAAAAAACACATGCTCTATGTAAACATGCTATACATTTTGGAATCTTTGCAACGGAAGCAAAAAGTAATGATCCTTGTCCCTCAGCTCCACTGGCAAACGCCCTCCCACATCCAGCAATCCAGTTTTACAATTTAAGGATTAAGGATTTGGAACAAATTGAATCAATGCTTACAAAGCAAATACTGTTACTGTATATATAGATATATACATATATAATAAATTATTAAATGACCTTATAGATTCAGTTAATAGTTTTGTGATGGATTATCAGAGAGCATAATATACTCCAGTAGAGTTCAAACACCAGTGGTAATGTTAGAAAGTAAGGAGTTTGAATTACATCAGTGATTAGCAAATGATGGAATGATTATAACCTTAGAACCAAAGCAGATAGGAGATGATGAAGTCTAGAAGCAAGTAATTAGGTCTTTTGCCTGATCAAATTTGACTGGTCTTTTGCCTTTCCTCAGGCTTGCAACAAAGAATTAAGGACATGAATTAAAATAGTCAAATCCTCAGACACCACTAATGCACAGTAACCTGCAATCGCTTCATAGTTTATAAAGAGCCACAAACACACCAACATAAGCATACAGAAGCAATTTCAGCAAGTAACTGCTAACTTTTGTGAAGAAATCTATCAATTAAATGCAATTTTATAGCTATTTACAATCCCTCAGGGGGCAGTCAAACTTGTGACAGCTAGCAAATTAACCTGAAATAAGACACTTCAAAACAAAGCAGAAAGTTAAATGCACCGCTTATTTGCTAACAGGATTGTGTACGACTTGACAGCATCGTGGAAAACAAATGAAATTATGAAATTTTTGAACAACAACCAGCAAATCAATTAGCTAAGGTGCTCCTTAAACCAATGAATCTTGCAATCGTAAAGCAGCAGTACTGGCATATATACAGCTTGATGTCCTTTCTGTAATTTCTGTGATGAATTTATACTATTATGGAGATAAATGAGGCCTTAAAACTGCAGCGTAGATTTGCCAATTCAGAAGGTAGCCTGGAGGTACACCAACATTGTATAAACTGCAGGCTAACAGTTGGAGGTGAGGACTCCCATCATGTCTCAGTTGGTAGTCACTTAAGCTTTTCTGCGGGTACACAATTAAACCATGTGTAGATACATGAGGAGTGCTCTCAACATTGAGAGGAGTGCTCTCAACATAAAGGAAACATCTTGCTTTAGCTGGTGTTACGTCAAAGTGATTTATAAAAATCGTGTAGACCATGGATTTATGCTGCATTAAAACTAAGTTATTCCATCTCTCAGACCTCTGCAGGATCAATGATCAGGCATTCATTACTGCAAGTTTATAAAAGTAACCTTCAAGTGTATAAGCAAACTGATTAACTTTAGAAAGGTACACAAAAACTGGTTTCAATGCTTCTTTCCTGTCCATCATCATCAAATGAAAATCTGAACTCTAAACATAGCAAGCAGATCTGAAAAATACCATGAGGTTATTTTCTTTTTCAAAACAAAATAAAAAATCTGCAATGCCACTAAATCACTGAAACTAATTTCACTGGATTGCATTCTACGCTGAAGCTTTTTAAGTCAGGAAGGAAACAATTACAACTCGATTTAGTAGCTGAGTGTGCAGAAAAAGACACTAATTTGTCAGAGTGTGGAATGATTCTAATGATGAGCAGTTATTTCCAGCCACTGATCTGCTGAAACTTCTTGTGAGCTTATTCATCATAGGGCAGCCCGAGGTGATCAATATGCTTTTAAACATCTCCTGGTTTGATTTTCGTGCTTTCTTGGATAATGGCTGTCAGTACCGGATTGTGAGTTTACAGCAGTGACAGGCAGGCAACTCAATCCAAGGGAACACCCAATTGCTGAATATTTTAGTCATGAGGAATGGAAAAGAAAACCTTGCATTACTCACACCCAACGTAATTGTTTCAATTAACCCCTTCTCCAACGCAAAGGCTTACTGCAACATGCCTCAAAACGAATGAGACAGAAAGATACAGGATTTTTAAAGTTCTTTTTATTTGATTGAATTATTGTGCCAATTATGGGGGGGTGGTGGGGGGCGTGAAGAGAGGAGCGGTCGAAAGCTGAATTATCAGTGGACACAAATTCACAACTGGAGAGAAATTCCACCTAGGTCTAGATTTAATCCATATTTGTAGCATTTCAGAGGATGCAGAATTTGATACATTTCCAATTCAATGTTAACTTGAAAAAGTTGGGAATTTACAGAAAACAATCTTAAAATTAAGGGCGTATCTTAGACTTTACCAAATTCTGCAACCTCCTGCAACCCTACGTTAGGCTAACGTCAGTGTGCTTCACATTTATTCTCTGAAACTCCAGAGTCCCTCCACCTTCCCTTCCTTATAGCCAAATTTAAGGTCCATTTTTTTCCCCAAACCATTGTTTAGTCATCTCTCGGTCTAAGTTAAACCATGTGCTTCCAAATCCACTGCCTGATAGACGAACCAAGAAACAAAAAAAATTTCAATGTTATTAAAAACTAATTTTATGTAAAATGTGTAATAATATGAAAAGTGACCTCCTTGATGTAGCTATGGTGAATCTCCACATTGAGCACATTAGCCATCATGGTGCCCATCCTGGATTGGCTTGTGCAGAGACCTTCATCTCACAAGAACAAACTGAATCCCAGAACATTAAGATCCCAAGAGCTATTGTTTGACTCTGCTCTTTTCCAGAATGACAACCTTGGCTCAACACAATTGTGAAAAGAAAGCACGATGGAGCAACATTAACCATTATGCTGTTCCTCTTTGGCTTGGGAAGAATTGCCAGTTGGGCATTCATTTACTTCTCAATGCTGCATACCAGGCTGTCATCTACAATACTGTATTTGTGTCCAGAACAGCACGTAAAAGTAACTAAATCAAAAAGCTTTTCAACATCTCCAACAGCAAGCTGAAGTGGTCTTTATACATCTTACAGTAAAGTTGTGAAAGCAGGAATTTTGCAAAATCCCTGAAATTTTCAGTAAAATTGTGAAACCATGAAACCACTGAAATTAGGAATCAGGGATTTTGTGAAAAAGTGAACCCAGCAATGGGCAGGAATAGAGGGGATCCCAGCAACATGCTTGGTATTATCATTAATTGGGATTTAGACACTGTCCAATACAAGAGAGTAGTGAAGGCTGGCATCTGACGGCTCATTATTCCAGGAACCAATTTGACCTCTGCCCACAACGATGGTTAACAGAGACCTGCATCAACCAGGAGAAGTCAGTGTCACTCTATGAAGCTGTTATTGCATAATCTGTTTGTGGTGGACAAGGCTTTACGAAGTGTAACTGTGGTCAGAAGATAAGTCAGACCAACCATTGTAAATGCTTCAACGCAAAGTTAAAATCCAACTCCTGGTATCACGAAAGCTTCACTTGTTTTAACTAATGAACATTTTGACTCATCAGTGAATGAAACGTTACATGAAGTTTATAGTGAATAAACTATTCATTTTCATAAGGTGTTATTTATTTGTTGATGATGCTAACAAGCGTCAAGGCATATTTCATCAATATGAAGAAATGATCAATTTCACAAAATCCCTGACTCCTAATTTCAGTGATTTTGTAAAATCCCTGGTTTCACGATTTTACTGTAACATATTTATACACATACACTACAATACCTAAGTATTGGTATTATTGCACATTTCTACCTAAGTTCATTGACTAAAAGTACAAGTTGTGGCATAGAGCAGCAGTGGTTCAAATCCCAATCGAGCAGTGTCAGGCAATACGAGATGGTGAACTAATGATAGATAGCGAGTTAAACAGTATAGCATTTGTGCTTTTACACCACAGCAGCATTTCTCAATGCTATTTATGTGCCTATTTCAGTTGGTCACTGAATTGTGGATTCTGCATATTATTTTTCTCTACAACCACTAATAGTGTTACTGGCTCCTTCCCTATACCAAACATTAAAATGGATAAACTGATAAAAATGCTCCATTTCTATGAATGAGTTTGCTGCAATACTGCTGTTTGCATGGTTGTAGAGATTGGTATATGGAAGAGTTAGTTAGACAGTACAGAGAAATGTAAGATACTCTAGAACAAACATCACTTCTACTTCTAAGGACAGAAAGAGGACTTAAAGAACCAGACACAAAACTGATCAAAGATTGGCTCCCTCAGTCTTGCTGCAGAGTGTAATTATGAAACAATTGTGGAGGGCGATGTCTCGAGGTTCACTAAAATATACTGAGGTACACTGGAAATAGTCACACACGATTAAATGGTCATCAGTATAACCTTGGGAGTTCTAAAATATTGTAGTTTTCTTTCTCACTCTTAAGACTTCAACTAAACTTCAATTTAGCTAAAAAGCAGGTATATCTCATCCCTGTCCTTAAGAAAGAGCATCATCTATAGGTGAAACTCAGCATTACTGGTTCCATGGAGAATGTTAAAATAATGTTGTAGGAACACCGACATGGAATAGCTGATATATATGGTTTCAGGGGAATTGTACCAAATATTTTGGGGGCAGTCATTTTCGTCCACCTCACCACACCAAATTATACTCACATCTCACCCTCACTAATATGCATTTGGTATATTTACCCATACACATGGCACAGAACTCGGATTTGAACCCAAATAATAATAAAGAGCCAAAATGATATCTACATTCACATAGGAGAGTTTAATCAGCACATAATAGGAACATGTCCACGCTGCATATTATTGCCTTTTTGTTAAGACATTTGGTAAATTGGAGAATCCTGTTCCTATTACACTCAAATGTTGGCAAAACAAAGTTTTTTTTCTTACCTGTTCTTTGGATTTCAAAGAAGACTTGGAAGATTCATAATCCTTCTTAGTTTCTAAAATCTTCTTGACAAGGCCCCCTGCAAGAATAAGTGTGTATATTGGAGTCAAATTTGCACTGCCTTTAAATTCTGTCAAAGGTTTTGATTAAATTTTTGAGCACATCAAAGGAAGAGCAGTCAGAAAGGGAAACGGTTTAATTTATTATTTGGACCCGGTACCTACACCAAAGACTCTAAAGTCAGGTATAGATGTAGTCAAAATATAAAGTGAACCTTCTTCCACCTCACAAGATCCCTCACTAATGTACATTTTTATTTCTCTGGCCAACTGCTCTGATTACCACTAACAATTTACCTCTAATTAGAGGATATTTTGAGTTGTAGTATTACTAGCCATAAGAATGGAGATTTTAAGCCCAAATTCATTTGACAGAAACACACAGCATTAAACCTATAAGCATGTTTTATAATACTATTAAACTGATCTCTGCATCTCTCCATTCTAATAATAATACTTGTCTTTGATATAGCATTGGAAGGACATCTGAACTGTCATCAGCTGAACTCCTGCCTCTGGCCTCCTCCCTCAACAATCTATCTTCCACAGTCATTCTCCTCCACAACTCCCTCTCCGCCATCTTTGATGCCCTTATCCCACTCACCTGTCAAACTGCTTCCACTTTCGTAAATCCCCTAGGTACACTAACCACCTCTGCTCCCTCAAGGCACAGTTCCATCAGCACATCTGGCTACACCACATCAACATCTACCGCTCCGCCCTCACCACTGCTAAATTGTGCTTATATTCCAAGATACCTTGGAAGCCAAGGACAACCCCAGGCTCCTCTTCACAAACCAGCTCTTTCGTTCATCCTTTCACGACTCGCCCATCCTCTCCTCCAACTGCGAGAAGCTGGATTTCCGAGTCCAAAATCGGGAGATCCACTCAGCAGCCTCTGCCCTTTCTACTGCCAATCCTCCCTGTCACACTCCGTCCCCTTCCCATCCCTCCACACCCGTCTCACACATCCATCATGTCCACGAAGCCCACCACCTGCTCCCTTGTCCCCAGCCTGTCCCCCTCCTTTACCTCCCAGCTCCACCTCCTTGTCCCGCTAGTTAGACATTGTCAACCTCTTCTTGTCCACCGGCACTGTTCCCACTCCCTTAAAAACAGCCATCATCACCCCTATCCTTAAAAAGTCTTCCTGGACCTTTCCATACTCCCAAATACTGCTTCATCTCCAAACTCCTTTTCTTTCCAAGGTCCTGGAATGAGTCATCGATGTCTAGTTTCGCTCATTCCTCTCCCTTCACTCCCTCTACAAACCCCTCCAATCTGGTTTCCGTGCTACCCATGGTACAGAAACAGCCTTGGTCAACGTCACAAACAATATTTTGTCCACCTGTGACCAGGGCTCCCTCTGTCTCCCTGCCACCTTCGAGATTACTGACCATTCTATTCTTCTCACTGCCTCTCCTCTCGGTTCAATTTTTACGGTCCTGCCCTTGCCGAATTCAAATCTTATCTTTTCCATCATCTCCACTTCATGTCCATGAATGGCTTCTTCTCCAGGCCCCACACCCACGTGTGGCGTTCCTCAGTGCTCAGGCCTCTCCTCTCCAATATCTATATGCTACCACTTAGTGACATCATCCGCAGACATGGGGTTAACTTACATATGTATTTGGATGACACCCAACTCTCCCTCTCTGCCTCCATCACTGGCTCCCCATCCCCAGGAGATCGAGGTCAAATTCCTCGTCGTCACTTTCAAAGCCTTCAGGGCCTTACTCCCCACAAATTCTGTGACCCTTTATCGGCCTGTCGCTCCCTCCTCTCGGCGGACTCTGGCCTACCTATCCCTGCCTGCCCCATCATCAGCAGTCAGACTTTCAGCCTTTTTGCCCCCACCCTTTCGAACTCCATCCCAAAGTCCCTTCGCCTTGCCTCCACCCTGGCCTCCTTCAAGGCCAGTCTCAAGAATTTCCTCTTTGACCACGTTTCGGTCACCCTCCTACCCCCACCCTTCCTGCCTTTCATCCCTCCTGATCCCAACCTCCAATTCGAGTGCACATCCTTGACTCTCCAGCACTCTGCAATGTCCTCTCAACATGAAAGGCACTATACAAATGTAATTTGTTGTTTTTTCAAAGCACTTTACAGGATTTACTGTGAAATGGAGTGACTGTGTAATTGTAGGAAAATGTAGCAACACAATTGCGCAGAGCAATGTCCCACGAACATCCATGAAACAAATGACCAATTTTATTTGAGCAACTGTTTACCAGGATACTAGGAAAACTTCCTTTCTCTTTTCAAATAATGCCATGGCATGTTTAACATCCACCTGAGCAGGCAGACTGGACCTCAGTTTAACGTCTCATCAGAAGAAGGTCCCATCTTAAAACTGGAACTACCAGGATGCTGGAAATCCACCTCCTGAGAATTTTCTCTTCCCTCGTCTACCAATCCCTGGCAGGACTTCACAATTTCACTGAAGAGTTTCCAAATTAAATCTCATGATTGGCAATTTTAAAGCATGAAACTGGTAGCAAAGGGATGAGAGACACCAGTAAGAGTTCTCGAGAAAATGGTGTATAATTCAGTCATTCCCCTTCAAATAGTAAACTCAGTCACAAATTAAGGTCATTTTTGCCCACATAATACAGCCAATACAGTTTACAATATATTCTGTGAAGCGCTTTGAGACCTCTCAACGACAATGAGGTGCAAAATCAATTGCAAGGATTATTATTAGTGTTAACTTGCACAGGATAAACAAAATTTGAAAGAAAATCACAAGAGTAGTAACTACGCCAAAGATGGATTTTTCCCCCCCCAAAACAACATAGGGGTCAATTCATGATCCATCATGGAATTCCTCGTGAGGATAGGCTAGGATGTCCGCCTCTCCTCTTAATTAAAAAGTCTGCCAATGCTCCCTATCTAGGCCCAGTCGTTTAGGTGAGATATGGAAGGTGCTTGGCCTGTGTGGAATAATGCAATGCCATGATGAAAGAATGCAGCCAAAAATATGCAACTATGCAAAAAAAACATTAGCTACCCAATTCTTTAATATGAATCATGCATCAGTATACTTACCATGATCCTCATTGCTGTGCAGTTCCATTGTTGGAACCTGGAGAAAGAAGTGTACATAGCATCATTAGTGAGCTTGTGACTACAATGTAATCTTGAAATTCTGCTGGTGACAACCAATTCAACTTTATTCTTGTGCTTCACAATGCCAATAGAGCCACTCACTAAATCAGTCCTCGTCATCTAATATGCTAATAAGCAATGGCATTCCAAATGGTCGTGAATACCAAATGATCTCTCCTGCGGCTCTGACTTCTGGCTCCAGCCTATCCCTTAGACGCACCAAACCTAGGCATCAGGTGTCCTTCCTACCCCACATCTGCTTCCTGACCAGGTCCACTTTGCTCCACCTCAGTCACATTGCAAGCCTCCGAATGTACCTTATCCCCAAAATAGCCAAAATCCTTGTCCATGTGTTTATCACCTCAACGAATCCAATGCCCTCCTCAAAGCTCTCTCCAGCTCCACTAACCACAAAATTCAATTAATCCAGAACTCCGCTACCCGCATACTTACACGCACTAAACACCGTACCCCCAGCACACAGGTTTTTGCCAGGCTCCATGGCTCCCTATTGCCAAACAGATCGACTTGAAGATCCTCACACTGGTCTTCAAATCTCTTCATGCCCTGGTACCTCTCTACCGCTCTGATTTGCTTACTCCCCAAACCACTACCCGTTGCCTCCGCTCAACTGGCTCTGGCCACCTTGTCCCGTCCATTCAACCATCGGTAGCCGAGCTTTCAGCCACTACACTCCAAAACCTTTGGAACACCCCACCCATGCCCCTTTCTTCCCAATGTTCAGGATGTTCCTGAAGACCTTCTTCTTTGATCGCACTCATTACCACATCTCCCCTCTCTCTGGCTCGGTGTCATGCTCCACCACTGTCAAGCACCCTGCATGAGGGGCGCTATATAAATGCAAGTTGATGTGGTTGGTATCCAAAAGAATCAGGTCCATTTGACAGAGTTGATAAATTCTACTCAGGAAATGTTTTCAAGTCCAGCTGAGAAGTTGATATGGTTTCAGGCCAACTAAGGAAAAGCCTCTGTAGGTGGAGATTCTATCAGTTTATTTTCCCCTAGATGAATGGAAGGAAATTATCGAGGAATGTGTAACATCTATAATTTTCTAAATTCCAGTGAAATGGCACAAAACTGTGGAATCTGAAAATTGCCAGCGGCTGGGGGCTCCAGTCATATACTTCCCAAAAGCAAGCACAGAGCAAAATTCAAATTTCATGGTTTTCTGTAACTTTCTGACAGGTGTGATGCTGGAGTAAAAGGTTTACAATTCAGCAATTATTGGGTTCACATTCTACGTCAGGCTACCGCTTGAGTGTAGGGCAGCTATATCTGCCACACTTGACTTTTTTCACTTGTAAATACAAGCTCCATGACTTGTTGAGCAAGAAACCTTTCAGGACCTCAGGGGGAATGGAGGCGGAAGATGACAGAAAGAAGTTACAGTTTGTCCTACAGGTTTAGAGGGAATCTAATTGAGATCTTCAAATTCTGATGGTTTTGAGGATAGTGAAAGATTATGCCTATGCCCACTGTGTCCATAACAGGTACCATGAACATGGCCCTATGGGGTAAAGCTCAAGCGATTCCTTATACAGAGATATATCGGCTTACCGGTTCCATCTCTGGCATATCAGGGAGCTCGGGCACTGCTTCTTCCACCACGAACTGTTCATCATCATCCTCTTCTGTAGCCAAATTCTTGTCCACTATCACATTAGACACATGCTTTCCACTTCCAATTCTGAAAAAAGAGCACCACAGGAAGTTCACATAAATGTTCAAATAAACAAAGGAAAATAAATTCTAAGGAAGTCATGAGGAAGTATATAACAGTTTCAAAAGAACTATTATTATTTATATAAGTGAGCAAACAGTGAACCTGTGGAACAGGCTCCCTAGGGAGACAGTTGAAGCAGGAAGTGTTGATTCTTAGTACATAGGTAGTTTGGGACATATGTGCATGCGACCGCCAGGAAGTTGGAAGGCAAACTAGATGGACCTTGGTCTTTTTTCGTCTAGCATTTCTTATGTTCTTATAATGCCGCTTTGTAGAAAACAAGAAAAATGCAATCCATAATGTGGTATTAGCAGAATGAGCAGCAATATTTCCTTGTCATATTTGACTGGAGGAAAAAACAATGAAATCCATTTAGAACAGAAAGTATGGAACGAGAAAATCCCATTGCAACATAAGCTCTGCTTCCTCCAGACTGAATACTGGGGTCTACTGTGGACCATATATAAAGATCTGTGTTATAGGCCATTTACAAACACACATGTACAGAGGAAATTACAGGTGTCTAATTTTTGCAATTAACCATGGAAAGAATTGGCTGCTCATTACATAATTAATAAATCTTTTGCATTGGTTAGCTAATCAAGTGGACCAGTCATTTCCTCCATACAGCTGCATTTACACTGAGTGTAAAAACTAGGTGTTTTTCGAGGTGTAAAAACTAAGTGTTTTAAGCTACCAAGAATATATTTACTCTCCATTTTAATCTTTATATACAACATGCATTTTATAGCACCTATAATGTCTCAAGAGCTCTTTATAGTAATTATGTTTTTGTAGGCAGCCCATTTGCACACACAAGTCAGGAAATGAATGACAGATTAAACTGGAATTATTGGCCTGGACACTGGGAGAAATTCTCTTCTTGAATAGTGTTTTGGAACCTTCAACAGCCTCGTGAAGGACAGACTGGATCTGGGCGTAATGTCTCATTTTAAGATTAGCACCTCTGATAATGCAACATCTGCCCAGTATTGCACTGGAGTGTTAAGTCCCAACGTAGGGGCAGAACCCATAGCTTTATGACCCAAAGGCAAGTTACCAGCTAAGCCAAACTGACATCTGGGGCAAGACAACAAGAAGAAGATTACATTTGTATAGCACCTTTTACATCGGGAGGACGTCCCAAGGCGCTGACATAGTTAGATATTCTGGAGTGTGGTGTCAAACACATCAGATTAGTTTTTTTAAAAAATCGTGTTAAATCCTAAATGTATTTCTGACATTAACCATACGCTCACACCTTTCTGGGGGCTGCTCTGTACTTTCTTGCTTCTTCACTCTGGGCGGCGCTGGCCTTGCGCTACCTGGTCGGGGTATTCGCCTGCTCGGAAAAGAATGACATTCACAGAAAGAACTTCCTGTAATCATACTTTAAATTGTGAAAACAAAAACAGAAGTAGCTGGTCTGAAAACAAAAGCAGCTGGTTTTGTGTACTTTAAATTGCATTTCGTATCGAACATGAAATCAACAGAATTCTCACAAGAAGAAAAAAGGAAGCAAGTCAGAAGTTTTTGTATTAAAAATTTTTAGAATATGGAATCACCACAAATGCTTATTGCAGCAGAATTCACATATAAAAAGTCAGTGAAATTCACATATTAAAAAGTCAAGGAAAAATATTGAATTCTTGCATTCTGATTTTTTTTGGTCAGCTGGGTATCTGAAACATGCAGAAAACCATCACCATGCTTAAGAGTATCTAAACCAAGCTGAGGTTTTCATGCATCCCACCTACAGATGGAAATCCCAGATAGATTGTTGGAATGGAATATGCACTCTCTCTGTGGAGGGATGAATCCTGCTCACCTAATTCCAGAAAGTATTAGGCGCAGGTTGACAAGAGGTAAGGCTTAGGGACCCCAGAGTTGTTGGTGTTACTGCTGAAGTCTAACTAGCTGAAACCACATTGCTTGCCGTCGATATTGTTGCCTGGAAATGCTTCCTTGATTAGCTAGGTCTATCCTATCGTTTAGGGCTTCGGCTTGCAGCATTAGGAGGTGCTCAATGGGATGACTCCCTGCCCTCGATGACTGGTCTGGCATTCTTAGTCCATCCGATGAGCCAGAGTTGCTGAGCAGTCATCAGCAGTGCCCTAGAGTACTGCAGATCCGCCTGGCTCAGGACTACCGAGACTGTCACAGAGAGGTGGCTCGATTCCGATATTCCTGTGGTGGAGGGTTTGGGGGGGGGGGGGGAGGGGGGGAACCACGATAAACAAGGAGTATTTTAATGGAAAGATTGGAGGGATGGTAGAGGGTAAGTTGCCTGAAGGAGAGGAATGAACCGGAGGAGTAAGGAGATAGGCTAAGTGAGGACTTGGAAATGAGCCATACCACCACCACGGCAGTTAGGTTATGGGGTATGGTGGAAGGTATAGTCAGGTGGGTGGTCTCAGTCAAAGGGACAGTCAAGTGGGGATAGGAGGTGAGGAGAATGGAGGGAGACAAGGACAGAGCGGGAGTGATGCGGAGTAGAGGACAGGGACGGGAGCAGCAGACAAAATGCGCATGCTGAGACTGGAGGTAGGTAGTTAGCAGGGCATAGTCAGATATTACTGTAAAGTCCAGTGTAGTGAATATTTTGGGGGTGAACATGGAGGCAACTTGCACGCAAAAATGTCCCACAAACAGCCATGAAGTGAGTAACTGATTTTATCTGAGGAATTGTTAGCAAGAATAATACAAGAAATTTCCTTCCTTTTTTAATAGTGCCTTGGGATCTTTAACGTTCACTTGAACAGGCAGATGGTGCCTTGGTTTGACATCTTGTCATAAGCACAGCACCTCCAGCAAAATGGCATTCCAGCATTAGATTGGAGTGTCAGCCTAGACTGTGAGCTCAAAATTCCGGCATGAGGTTTGAAGGTGGGGTTTGAATCTATACCTTCCAACTCAGACGCAAAAGATACATTATGAGCAAAGGGTAAGAAAATTAGAGAAGATAAATAGCTCTATTAGCCGAGTCAACATCAGCAGATGCTACCATAAACACATCATTCTATAAATTATTCAGTGATTCCTCTCAAACTCACAGCTATAGGTGTGAATATCAAATTCAGACAACAACAAAAGTACATTTGTATTGTGCCTTTCATGTCAGGAGGACATCCCAAGGTGCTGGACAATCAGTGTTTTGGACCCGAACTGGGGGTCAGGATCAGGGAGGATGGAGGGCAGGGGTGAGGAGGGTTATAGAAGGCACAGTCGAAGAGGAGGGTCTTAAGACAGGTCTTGAAGGAGGCAAGGTGGAGGGACTGCAGGAGAGTTCCAGAGATTGGGGGCAAAGTGGTTCAAGGCCTACCCACCAACAGTCGGGTGGGCAAGACAGGGGACGTGAAGCAGACTGGAGCCCGCTGAGTGGAGGGAGCAGGCAGGTTGGTAGGGGGTTAGGAGGTCACAAAGGTAGGGGGAGCGAGGCCATGGAGTGCTTTGAAGGCGAGGACCAGGATCTTGAACTGCATCCTCAGTGTGATGGGAAACCAGTGGAGTTGGGCGAGGATTGCGGTGATAGGGTCATGGAGCCTGGTGTGGGAAAGGACATGAGCTGTAGCCTAAGGAGAAACGAGTTGGGAGGCCGACAAGCAGGGAGTTTGCCATAGTTGATCCTGGATGTTATGAATGCATGCAAGAGGGTCTCGGCGGCCTGCAGTGTGAGATAGTGGCGGAGCCGGGCGATGTTGCGGAGGTGGGGGAAGGCAGAGCGGGTCATGGCATGGATGTGGGGTAGAAAGGATAGTTGAGGGTCAAACATGACACCAAAGCGCCGGACTGGCATCAGCAAACCTCTGTGCGGCTTGGTGCACAACATCCTCAGAAACATGTCCGTTGACCTCAGTGGCTGGCTTCTTCTCATTTGAACTGTGCAGAGTTTCTGGGTCTGTAAATATTGAGATGTCCATTACAAAAATGTGCCACACCACCAGGAGGAAAAAAAGAAACATACTGGAAAAAAGATTATTTGTTACCACAAAGTATCGCCATGTGTGAAACGTTTTTTTTTCCTAATCTGTTTTTCACAGTAAATATCAACTTCTAGGTTTTCTTTTAAAACAAAACACTTATCTAGTGAGCAGCGGAGCTCTACAGACAGGGAAAGTCTCAGAGGCTTGATCATTGCTCTAAGTTGAGTTACTCAATCTTTGCTAACACCAGGGCTACAAATGGCCACAGTGCCTCTATGCTAGGAAGGGTTAAAAATCAGCCAAGGTTTCCAGCTCCAGATTACTATTCAGTGACCCACTGCTGGAAAAGGCACATGTCTGGCTAGGCTACAATTGCAACACAGACAAGGCTCAGACATGGATGATGGCCACCTTCAGGACAGGAGGGTAAAAGAACATTGGGAGTTGTTCTGGAAAACAAACAATAAGCAAACAGAAAATAGGAATCACCACAAAACTGGGGCTCAAAAGGTTGTAGCAAACCTGCTGTAGCAAAAACAATTCAACCTGATGCATGCATTACAGGATAGGTGATAGAGGAGTATAGAAGAGGGGATGTCGAGGCTCATGTGGAACATAAACAACGGCACAGACTAATTGGACTGAATGGCCTGTTTCCATGCTGTAAAATTCTATGTATAAGTTTAACAATGTTCTGAATAGAATGACCACACAAACTGACAAAACATTACACATAAAATAAACATTGGAAGAGTATTATAAGTTAGAACATCCCCACAAGATCATACAAACATCCTATAAATTATTACAGCCTTGAACACACTTCCAGTAATAAAACAGAATATTTAATTTTACGGAGCATTCCCAATTAGAATCTTATCTCATTTGCTCTATATGGTGGCAGACCATGTGCAAGACCATGGTTACAATAGAGTTAGACAACAAAAAAAGATCCTAAACTGAAAGATGTTACTCCTGTGTACTGCTTAAATATGAAATTCCCTACACCTTGGGGCTTTTCTTTGTTTGAATTTCTTAGTTAATTTCAAGTTGTTATTGTTAGTCTAAAAGAGGGAGAATGCAAGAGCCTTTTTAAGCTGCTTAGTACAAAGCTTAACTCCCACAATGAGCTTTGGATGAAGGTCCTTTGACCCATTTCATCTCATGCATCCAGGACACTAACCTTAATCCATTATACCTTAAAGTGGTTTCTGAAATAAATCGAGTATCTTGGCCTCTACCACTCTTCCTGGTTATCCACTCTACTTGTTAATTACACTCTGTAAAAAAAATACTTCCTGACACTTATCCTAAACTTACCTAAACCTGTGACCTCTTGTAATGTTTTAATACATTTGGGACAACAATGTTATGGATTTACTTTATCTGCTGACTATCATCCAGTGCCTTGGGACGTCATCCCGACGTGAAAAGCGATATATAAATGCAATTTGTTGTTGTATACCTCTAGAAGGCTCTCTCTGAGATGTCTCCTCAATGCTGTCATTTTTTTTCCCTAGGAAAGGCAAAGAAACTAAAATGATTTACACAGTGGTAGTAGAAAGCTACAATGAATAATGGTCATTTTGAAGCAAGCTAAATGAGACTTTTGGGCCAAAGTACTTAGTAAGTGGACAGTGTGGGATGACACCTCAATGCATTGCTGTAGGCGCACTGCATGTTTGGAGATGCTGTCTTTTGCTTTCAGTTTGATCAAGGACTCATCAACACACAGCTTTGATCTCTTAATCAAAATATGACACCTGCATCTTAAAACAGTGAAATTTGTCTCTATTCAGAAATCATATTCACGAGTTTATCTGTGATTGCTCATATCATCCTCAGTACAACCGTAAAGCCATTCTGACCGGCTGAGTTTTTTAAGTGGATAAATGGTTTGGTAAATTCAGGTAGTTTATAGTCTCCACAGTCTGGCTCAGCTAGTAGCACTCTTGCCTCTGAGTCACATCGTGATTTTGAACTCAGCCAAGGCTAACACTCCAATGCAATGCTGTGGGTGCCCAGAATTTGGAGATGCCATCTTTTAGATATGTTAATCCAAGGACCTGTCTGCCTGGTCAGGTGGACGTTAAAGATCCCATGATACGATTCATTGGGTAGAAGGGAGTTTCCCAAATAAAATTGGTCAATCACTTTATGGGTGCTTGCAGGACATTGCTGTGCACAAATTGTCTGCCTACAAGATAGTCATGAGTTTACAGAACATCTTGTGAAGCACTTTGAGACATCCTCCCAACATGCAAGACACTATATCAAATGCAAGGATTATTATTACTTTGTGCATGCAGCAAAAGATTTCATTAAAACATCTTGAAATGGCAGAGTGAAAGTATTTTTGATTAATTTGGTTTGTGGAGTTTGGAATGAATGACCTCAATCTCCTTTCAGGCTCGAATGACTAATAAGTGTGTGAAGTATTGCATTCTTCAAGCATTATTGCAGAATTTTCATGTGATGGATGAGGAAACATACATCAATGGAGTCTTGTGTTTTCCACCCCCTCCTCGAATCAGATTTTTGTTCCAACTTCCAACATATCATCACTCATAGTGGCGTACAGTTCCACAAATGTCTGCCTCTCTTTCTGTTACTTCACCCAAGTAGCTAATCTTCAGAAACAAGTCTACAGTGAGCTTTTCAACCTTCAAAAGCATGACAGAGCCTGATCTTGACAACTACCTTCCAGCAGGTGTCACTAGACAGCAATCAAGTAGGAAACTCATAGTAATATTCAAAGCTGAATGAAATAAATGCTCACCTGCCTCCACATCCGACTCATCTAGAAGGAATAAAATACAGTCAGACATTCCTGCTTTTCAACTTGAATTCCAAAACCTCTACTTTTATCACCTAAAGTTACTTGGTGACTTTACAAAGTGACCACACAGGCCTGGCTTCTGCAGATCTTATACTTTATACTATTTAATAAAATACTCCAGATAAAAAGCTCATTTAAAATACAGTGAAAAAAGCAAGGAAGGTCCTTGAGGGGTGGGTGGGAAAGAGCCAAAAAAAATGCAAACAATAGGTATAAATAATGAAAAACTCTCCTGTAAAGACACATTGGGAGTGAAAAAACAGTAACTCACATGAATTCAATTCCATTACATTCTAGCTCCAAACTGGAGTTATTTACAATTTCCCACTGCAATAAAAGCACTTTACCCCCATTGTCAAAGGGCACCAAACCTCTCCCCACAGTAGTTTCTTTCTCTATCCCCTCCACACCAGACTGTGTTACACACAATTAGGAATGGACAAGCACCAAATTATTTCTCCCATGTGACCAATGCCTCTTTAGAAAACCAGTTTCAGTTCTGTGACAGGCTCTTTAACTTTAAAGCTAACAATCCCAGTGAGCGTGATCAAGAGCAGGAAAATTAAGTCCTGCTCTGACTTGCCCCACTATGTGGCATCTAGAAGAATTTCCTAGTCACGATATAGAGAAAACCAGCTTACGTTCTTGCCAAAAACTTCAGCTTGGTTTTATTGAAGAAACTGTTTAAATTAACAGCAATATAAATAAAGTCCAACACAAATAGCTTCTAATTTACAAGTAGTGAGTTAACGTGTGTCAAAGGAACACTATTTTTCTCTCGCTATCCTGCAGCCTATTCAGGGCTGCTTACCAGCTCTACATTCTTACCTAGCTTGTTTTCAATGGTCTCTTTCTCAGGCTTTTGCTCTAATACTTCTTGCTGACTAACTGCTGTTTTAGGTGTTTTCTCGTCCTCTGATAGGAAACAGAGGCAGAAAGAATGTATTTAGTGAGTGGTCTTAAAAGAGTAAATTTTCTAAATGTCTGCAACTTGCTCTGTATTCCCTAGTCAGCCATGAATAAAGCAAGAGAAGGGATGACCTCGTGGGTAAAGGCACAGCAGTTTCACATACAGAATGAAATCCTCTGTGCCGAATTAGCTGATCTAACAGGTGTCTTCAGCATCCATGGCTAAGGGATAAGATGTATGTAAGTGAATGTTGGGTGCAAACCCTGGACTGTCCAGCTCCTTAGGATGACCTCCCATCATGAATAGCACTATATAAATGTAAATTTGCATTGTATTACATAAGGACAGCATTAGGCTCAGCTGAGATACCTTTAACGTCAGTTTGCTTACCAACAGTCACAGCTGAGTCTCCCATGTGAAAAAGGTCATTTAGGCAAAGCACCAGAGGGTATGTGATATTTTGGCTACTACCAAAAAAAACTATATTTACAAACTGCTGCTTCAACATATTTTGGTCCAACAAGGATTTGCAAGTGAGTTGAAGCTTCAAAAATCTAACAATAGGAAATTGTACAAAACAAAATGCCTTGAACATTGTGCTTTTAATCCGCACCACATGCTTTAATATATCCTAAAACTAAACCGACACCTTTGTGATCCAGAGCTGAGGGTGCTACCAAATAAGCCAGGCTGAAAACATAGATAATCACAAAAAGAAGCAGATGTGTGTGTGTGTGGGTGGGGAGGGGCGCGGGTCGAAAAAGAACTACATTGATTTGAATATGGAATTCTCTGCACATACCATAGAAGAAGCAGGGCCATTCTGAAGAAATACAACACCAGTACAGACTCGATAGGCTGAATGACCAGTTTCTGCGCAACATTCTATGAAAGATTTTAGGCACAACAGAAGGTGCTCCCAAATCATACCTTCTTCTGATTTTGGTTTTCGTCTTTGGCCTTTTGCTGAGGAAGGTCTTGGTATCTTCACAGGACTCTCAACCTTCACAAAAAAACAATAATTTTACAAACAACCCTGGACCACTAATATACTCAGACCTCAGATTAATTCCAGGTATTGAAGATATGTTATGGCCAGCACTGAGACTCAATTGATAACTAAAGAGTGGGTTTTCGTGAATCTATTTATCATTTCTTCGCTAATCAGCACATATTCTCTTCATCATCTTGGTATTTTTCATTCGCAAACCGTGAGATGAACTTTGGAAGACAAATTAAACTTGGAAAGATTTGATTTACTTAATATATGCACAGTTCAACCACAAAGGCTGTCCATCACTGGAACCTTCTTGCTGCAGTGGAGTAACTTTTCCCGGTCTAGTTATTCACAAAATCTATTGGAGGGCAGAACAATACTGAAACAATACCAACTCCATCTTCTGGTAGTGGATGACAATAACAACTTATATTTACAAAGGATGTTTCATGGCATTTCAAAGACAGAGCCTGGAGAATAGAGAGAGGGAGTTTGAGAAGTTTAGAGCGTAGCTGATGAAACAGCACAGAGGAGATAGGCATGTAGCCGACCTGAGACCAAGTGGAAGGGCGAGCAAAAGAGTGGACTAGCAGAAGAAGAAGCTAGAGCTAGGAATTTACAGATGAGGGTTTACAAACTGTGTGCAGCACCAGAATAACCAATGAACAACATTAGTTATCTGAGTTGATGTGTTTAGTCCAACATGTGTTCAAATTTCCAATACTAGTTGAAAACTTTTTTCCCCCCCAAAAAATGCCTGCTATTATTTATAACAAAGCCACACCATAAAGCAACTTAGTTAGTTAAAAGGTGCAATACCTGTGTTCTGAGAATATCTAACACCTCATCAGGCTTGCAATAAAGAAAATGAAACATTAGTAATTGATAATAAATCAAAAAGATTTTGCAGTTCTTATAAATTAAGTACTGCAAATGACAAAATTAAGACTTGATACAAGGCAGAAATCTTTCCTCTCACCATTCAAGACAAAGGAAGAAATGTCCATCCAAATTAAAAATTCCATAATAACTCAAAGCCTTTCAACACTCAATCTGCAGTTAGTTTGAAAATGCAGTAATACATTTTGTATGTGTAACTATTTCAGGTTAAATCCATACCTGAAGCGGTTACATACAAATTCAACATGCATTAAGTTTCTAAGACCAAGTTCGCTCCATTTTCTACTATATTGGCCTTTACCTGAATCTTATTATTGCCGATTCAATCACAAAAAAAACATGGTTTCACAAACATTGTGCAGTCCATTCATTAATAGCAGTTTTTAATGTGCTTTACATTAAATGAACAGTTTGTTTCAACTATACAACTACTTTGCAATCTAGCACTAAACAAGCCAACAAAGTATTTCAAATGCAGCAACATCTAACAGAATAGCAGCAAGCAGGTTAAAAAAGTACCTCATCACCACTGCCTGCCTTTAATTAGGAAAAAAATAGCATTTTTAAGAACCAAATCAGCAAATAATGGAACATATTCAACTAGTTAAGTCACATAAGCTTACCTGATCCATTGACTGCTATCTGTTCCAATAAGTGCGCAATAAATCAAAGTGGAGCCAAGCCCACGAGAAGTCAATTTCTACTTCACTTAGTAAACTCTATGTTTAGAATTTCCATCAAACTATGCCAGACGTTTCGATCCTGAGTGTTCATACTCTCTTGTTTAAAGAAATGCTTTACTATCCAAAGCATGAACATAAATAACTGGTAAAGAGTCAAATATTAATATGGTTATTTTCAATATCAGTGAGTCAGTAATTAGCAGGCACAAATTTTAAGATAAAGTGGAGATAATAAATATCTATACCCAGAGGGTTTTTGAAGCAGAATCCATTGATTTGTTTAAAGGGAATTCGATAAATACTTGATAAAGAGAAATATAAAATATAAATCGAAAAATTTTCAGATACCATATCTTCAGTGTTGTATCACACCTCACTGGTATCGCCAAGCCATAATTAAAGCAGAAAACATCAATGCATTTAAGAGGATACAGGAAGAAGAAGGAAAGTGTAGCATCTCATATAGAATATAAACAACGCTATCAACTAGTTGGGCCAAATGGCTTATTTTGTGCTTTACAATCTAAAAACTTGTATAGTGACATGTGATCTTCAACATCCACTCGACTAACAGGTAGATGGGATCTCAGTGACTCATCCAAAGAATGGCACCACCAACAATGATAAGCTCAAATTATGACAGAAGGCTTGGACCCACAAGATAGATGAGTGGCATCAACTAAACGTGAACTGCAAGATGTTAGTACATCAACTGGTTTGTGATAACAAATGGTGAACAGAAGCACAATGTGAATTTGTTAATCTGGGAATGCTCACCTCCTGGTCCGTATCACTTTTATTCTCTTTCCTGGTTACCTCTGAAGGCTTTCTAACAGTTTTTTCTTCTGCTAATGCTCGGGGCTACAGGGGTTTAAAAAAGGAGCAAAATACACAAAATTAAGATACATTTTTAAACATATCTAAGCAAAACTGACAAGCAATTGTATTAAATGATAAATTCTTGCACAAGCATGGTTTACTTAAACGTATTTTTCATAATTTTGTGAATACATTTAGTACATTATATTTGTATAACAGGATGGCTCAAGACTGACATGGGTGAATTAAAAGATTTCAAGTTAGCAATGTACTGAATGCTGAGAATAATGGGAATTCCAAACTTCCATTCAACATTCATTTGGTAAGAGCTTGAGTAAAGATAACGGAAACAAATAGATTTGCAATGTAGAGAGACAAAAAAACATACACACACAAAATCAATTTGTTTTTTATACTTTGCAACATGTTAACTTCTAGACGTTTGGCACAATATTTTCCATTAACAGTCATCATGCACCCACCAAATATTTTCTACAATTACCTTTCTCTCTGGTTCTTTTGTTTTTTCTTTTTCCACTTCTTGATCTTTGTCTTTTGAGCGTTCTCGCTCCTTGATCTTCTCTCTTTTTTCTTTCACTCTATCCTTGTCTCGATTTCTTTCCTTCTCTTTGGTTCGCTCCTTGTCTTTATCCACTTCACCTTTAGCCTTATCTTTTTCCCCCTTTTCTCCTCTAATCCTCTCCTTTTCTACATCTCTGCTCTTGTCCTTTTCCCCTTCTCCCCTATTCCGGTCCTTTTCCCTATCTCTTTCTTTTGCTTGTGCTCGGTCTCTTTCCAATTCTTTCCCTTTTTCTCTTCTTTCACTGTCTTTGTGTCTGTCTTTTTCTTTGTCTGTTGGTTTCCCTTGTTCTTTTGAGCGTTCCTTTTCTTTTCGATCTCTGCTGGTCTCCTTGATTTCATTTTCCTTCTTTTCCTTGAAGNAAAAATTAGAAGTATACAACATACAAGTCTAAGTATTTCATGCAGTTGTATCATGACAGTAGACATAAAAGCTATCACAATGTACCTACCCTTTGACTATTTTTGCTGTGCTGGTTGTTAGAAAATTTTAAAGTCGCTGTTACCTCATGTTCTTTGTCTTTCAGTCTCCTTCGGTCGTCATCCTTTCTCTCACGGTTTTCTTTGCCCTGAGATTTGGAACCTGAAGGTGTTTTGGCTTTAAGATCTGGCTTTTCTCCAGCAAGGACCCTCCTTACAGCATCATCACTGGAAAGCTGGCAGCAAAATAAATTATCAATGCTTAGCAATAAATTATCATCCTACACCAAAGCAACCATGAATCGGAGTAGAGATGTAACTTACAGTCTGATTCCATTAACATCTTTAAAAAGGAAGATGAATGTCTGGTTGAAAAGAAGTGAAAATCAGCAGTATATGCACAGGCAAAGGGGATCAAATATTGTGTATTGAAACATGGTTTTCCTGATCCTTAAGCCACAGATGAAGATTATTTATCCATTTTGAGGACATGGGTTAAGTAGAGGACATGATAGAGCAGAATGCACACAATTAACCAAGAGGTTAGTGAACTAAGTACTTTATTCTCTGTGCTGTATCTTCATTGCTCTGATAATTAACAGTAACATGATCCCAAAGCTCAAATCTTAGAATTTCTCGGAATAAGGAACAAGCAACCATATTAAGAGTTAACTGTGAACAGGCAATCAGGATGACACATCCTGGCTCAACAATGGTAGCCTTTGAAAAGCACCTTTACTCATTTCATCATTGTTCATAATTTAAATCAACTTCAATGACTTCAAATCACTTGTTAGTGAGCTTTCCTGCATCTCTCATCCATCCAGTAATTCAGGAGTTCTCCCACATTATTTCCTCTGCTCCAATCCTCAACTTGTACTGGTGGTGGACAACCTTTATAGTTGGCCAACAAAATACATTTTCTTGATTGAATATTTCTTGATTTGCCATAAATCAATCAGGAACTGAAAACACACTAACAATCGAACACGGACAACAGCAATTACCTAAACTCATGCAAATATTCGGTCTGCTTTTTGACAGCCCTGCAGGCCAAAGATTGCACCATTGCCTTATACTGATCATCTCTGGGTTCTTCTGACCGCTCTTTACATGTGTCTTGCAGCAGTCACCAAGGCACTTTTGTACCACCAAGCAGCTGACCAGGGTGCAACCGTCTCCCTCTTATCCTTCTGTCTGCACCAATAAAGAATCAATATGATTCCAACTCATATGAAGGCTTCATATCTCAGCTTTCTTAGGCAGAGGACTGGATGTTGAATTGTGGTTTGACACAACCTGGAATTTTGCTGCCTTTAATAAAAGCCCTCCCCATCACTCATAGCATTTTTCAAATTAGTCAGTTGTATTTTCTTTCAAAGTCTAGGATTAGAGGTGCTGAAATAAATTATTAAAAATAACAATCTTCCTGACTTTGTGCCTACAACAGAGGATGCAAATTTTAAAAATTATTTTCAGCTTTTTTGTGATATCCACAAATGAAATTTGGGAGAAAAGAACTGCTAAGTGTGTTTGTCTAAAGAGTAACTGAGCCATTCAATCCAAGGAGGTCCAAAAATATGAATTTAGTTTATGCAGCAGGCATGGAATGAATATTAATTCTCCATATACAATGGATTTTTAAAAATGCAACAGCAATTTGTCTCTTGACAAGCTCTATCATAATAACAACTTGGATTTATATAGCGCCTTTCACGCAGAGTAGCATCTTGGAGAACTTAACAGTGCGCAACCTGATGCCAAGCCGGGGAGGTAACCATAAACAATGTCGAACAACATGGTCTTCAGGTGTGATCTGAAAAAGGGGAAGGAGGGTTTGAGAGAGAGGGTTCCAAAGTTTTGTGGCGCAGTAGCCACGACGACACACCCCGGCTCAACAATGGCAGCCTTTGAAAACCACCTTTACGTATTTCATGATTGTTATACTTCTTTAAGAATACCTGATAAATTAACCAGTGTGAATTATGATCTTCCATATCTTATGGACTGCAAACAGTTGTACAGCTGAGAGTATTAAAGGTCAAGGCAAAGACTTCTTGTCACAGATTTTTAAAACTGCAGTGGTACAACACATTGACCATTGCTACAATGAGAAAAGGTTTAAAGTTGTTTAACCATTTGCATCAGTGGTTATTAATGGAGGCAGTAACTACCTGTATGTAAAGAGCTTGCTCCTGTTCTTATTCCACTACAATAGGTAAAATAGGGCTGGCTGGGTCCAACTGTAAATGAGCTCCTCCAAAGCCGCACTTAATTTCACACCAATTGACAATCTGATAGAAGTATTGGACAGCCAGTTGTAGTGGAAGGGGAGTGGAGGCTTGATAAGGGCCCACTGAAATAGCATAGAGGTGACTGCACTTGGCATTGAGCTCATGTTGTACATGACACTGGATCTCAGAAACAGAAAACGGTTTATACCCCCTTTAAGGAAATACCCATTAACAGTTCTAAAATGCCACGTTTGGTTTAGTTATAAGCTCACAAATCTTTCCAAACTCTTACCCTGTTTAGACAACATTTTCCAATGGCTTGCAGGAGCTCGTTGGTTTTCTCTGGCTCATGTCCTGCCACAATCCGGGCAGGTTTCACAGACAAAGGCTCACCATATGCCATCACCACAACATCAATTGCCTTCTGTAGGAAGCTAATTTTAGCATCTTTGTCCTGATCAAAAAAAGAATAGAAATTGGTTAAGAGTTTGAGGTAAAACCAATTATTACTTTTGGACCAGTCAATTATACTTGAATATCTTGGCTATAGTAAAGTAGGAGATACTGGTTATTCCTATAGTAAATTATGTATTCATTCAAGATAAGGCTTCCCTGGTGACACAGCAGATTTACTTTATGTGCAACTGAGCCATATCTGAGACATTCCTAGGTTCAATCGCGAGTCTGTTCTGAGTCAATAGAGCTAAACTCACACCTTGAATATTATGCACAATTTTTGTCACAGAGTTATAAAGAAGTCAACTAGGCCCAACAAGTAGTGTAAAAGAGATCAATATGTGCCGTGAGGAAAGACTTGATAATAATAATAATAATCCTTGCATTTGATATAGCGCTTTTCACTTCGAGAGGACGTCCCAAAGCGCTTCACAGAATATACTGTAAAGTGAATTGACTGTATATTTGTGGGCGAACGCGGCAGCCAATTGCGCACAGCAATGTCCCACAAAGAGTCGTGGATTGAAAATGACCAATTTATTATTGTTTTTTTTTTGGAGGGATTATTATTAGGCTCTGTGTGGAGTCAGGAAACTTGCCCAAGGTTTCGCCCTCTGCCTGGAATTGAACTCAGGTCTCTCGCTTGCAAAGCGAGTGCTCTAACCACTGAGCTACAGGATTTAGCCTCAAAAGATGTTTAGGAACAATGTATCAGAAGCCCTAACTGCCCCATGGTCTTTGTCCATGCAAAATTTTATAAAAACATTTTAAATTGGGAGCGACTTTTCTTCAGTTCTTTTTAAGGTGTTTTCCAGAAGGTCAATCAATGTTCAATAAGAGAAAAGGCTTAATGCTAAGACCATCGAGGCTTTCCAATCTCAGGAACAGTTACATCCAAAACACTTAACTTAAGAAACATCTAAAATTGGAAGAGAGTATGGGTATTTTGGAAGGATTAAATCAAATAGGCTGAAGGTCCTTCTTATTCTGAAGATTTTGGATTCTTGAGAAATAAGTAGTAAAATATAAGCTTAAAACCATAGATAATATAGAGCATTCCTGAGCCTTTTAATATTATTATTAATAATCCTTGCATTTGATAGAGCTCCTTATGACCTCGGAAGGACGCCCAGCGCCTTGGAACGTCCTCCCAATGTGAAAGGCGCGAGACAAATGTCATTTTATTGTTGTTGTCTCAAAGCGCTTCACAGGATTTAATATGAAATGGAGTGACTGTATATGATTGAATTCTGCATTAAGTTAGAGAGGGATACAGTTAAATCCGAGGCAAGTATTCTGAATTTAAATAAGGCTAATTTTGTAGGTATGAGGAAAGATTTAGGTAAAATAGACTGGAGAATAAGATTAAGAGGTAAAAATGTAGACCAACAGTGGCAAATATTTAAGGATATAGTGCAAAATTCTCAGCGGTTGCATATTCCCTTGCAGAATAAGAGTACCACAGGGAAAGCAATTCATCCGTGGCTAATTAGAGCAGTCAGGGAAAGCATCAAATTAAAAGAAAAGGCTTATAAAACTGCCAAGAAAAGTGGCAAATCTGAAGATTGGGAGAATTTTAGAAACCAGCTAAATAAAACTAAAAAACTCTTGATTAAGAGCGAGAAAAAGGAGCATGAGGGTAAGCTAGCGAGGAACATTAAGTCTGATTGTAAAAGTTTCTACAAATATATTAAGAGGAATAGGCTAGTGAGGGTAAATGTAGGTCCACTACAGTCAGAGACAGGAGAAGTTGTAATGGGGGACAAGGACATGGCAGAGTCCCTAAATGGGTACTTTGCATCTGTCTTCACCCTAGAAGACACAACAAGTCTGCCAACAATAGAGATGCACCAAAGGGATAAGGACAGGGAGCAACTTAGGGAAATTTTCATTAGTAGAGAATTGGTGCTAGGGAAACTGTTAGCACTAAAAAGTGACAAATCCCCTGGTCCGGATGGCTTGCATCCCAGGGTTTTAAAAGAGGGAGCTTATGAGATAGTGGAGGCCTTATGTCTGATCTTCCAAAATTCCTTGGATTCTGAACAGTCCCCATGGATTGGAAGATCGCAAATGTCACACCACTATTTAAAAAAGGTGGAAAGGAAAAGATGGGGAACTATAGGCCAGTTAGTCTCACATCAGCGATAGGAACATTTTTTGAATCATTGATTAAGGATGTGGTAGTGCGGTATTTAGGGGAGCACATTATAATCAGGCCAAGTCAATATGGCTTTACAAAAGGGAAGTCATGTTTGACAAATCTCATAGAGTTTTTTGAGGACATTTCCAGTAAACTAGATAAGGGTGAATCAGTGGATGTGGTCTATTTGGACTTCCAGAAGGCATTCGATAAGGTGCCTCATAAAAGGTTAGTCCAAAAGATAAGGGCCCATGGGATTGGGGAGAGCATATTAAGGTGGATTGGGGAATGGTTAACGGGCAGGAAACAAAGAGTAGGATAAACAGGTCCTTTTCGGATTGGCGGGATGTGACTAGTGGAGTGCCACAAGGATCAATCCTTGGGCCTCAGCTATTTACCATCTACATCAACGATCTAGATGAGGACATCAAAGTTAATATATCTAAATTTGCGGATGACACAAAACTAGGAGGAAGTGCCAACACAGAGGATGACATTTAAAAAATGCAGCGAGACAGATAGGTTAGGTGATTGGGCAGGTAGGTGGCAGATGAAGTGTAATGTAGGGAAGTGCGAAGTCATCCACCTAGGTAGCAAAAGCAGTAGAGCGGGTTATTTTTTAGAAGGGGAGAGATTAGAATGTGTTAGCGTCCAGAGGGACTTGGGTGTCCTTGTACACCAATCACAGAAAGTTAGTCTGCAGGTGCAGCAGCAATTAGGAAGGCGAACGGTATGTTAGCATTCATTATGAAAGGAATAGAGTATAAGTGTAGGGAAATCTTGCTGCAACTGCATAGGGCCCTGGTGAGACCACACCTGGAATACTGTGTCCAGTTTTGGTCTCCTCATTTAAGGAAGGACGTACTTGCCTTGGAGGGGGTGCATCGTAGATTTACTAGGTTAGTGCCAGGGATGAAGGGGATGAGTTACGAGGTTAGGCTGTCCAATTTGGGTCTATGTTGTATGGAATATAGAAGAATTAGAGGGGATCTTATAGAAACCTATAAGATCATCAAAGGGCATGATAGAGTAGATAGTGGGAGACTGTTTCCCCTGGTTGAAGAAACTAAAACTAGGGGTCACAACCTTAAAATCAGAGGCCAGCCCTTTCGCACTGAGTTGAGGAAGAACTTCTTCACTCAAAGGGTGGTGAATGTATGGAACTCACTAAATATACAGTCAATTCACTTTACAGTCTATTCTGTGAAGCGCTTTGGGATGTCCTCCCGACGTGAAAAGCGCTATATCAAATGCAAGGATTATTATTATTACCGCAAAGGGCTGTTGACGCTCAGTCCTTGAACATATTCAAGACTGAGATAGATAGATTTCTTATTGCAAAAGGGATTAAGGGATATGGGGATAAGGTAGGGTTAGGTTATTATCTGGAATTAGATTAGAAGATCAACCATGATTAAATGGCGGGGCAGGCTCGAAGGGCCGAATGGCCTGCTCTTGCATGTTATGTTATATTTGTCAGCAAATGTGGCAGCACAATTGTGCACAGCAATGTCGCATAAACAGCCATGGAGTAAGTGGCCAATTTTATTTGGGGGGGATTGTTGGCCAAGACAGCTGAAACTGGAACAGTAGAGTTATCACTTCACACAAAAATTGGTCAAATTTCAAAATAGATTAATTCATTATAGGTCCTTTATTAATAAAAAAAATGAACGGGCTTTTAAAAACCAATAGCGCTAACTGTTCATAAAATGTCATTGTTTGTATTATCTGTTCATATTGTGTGTATTAGTATAGTGTGTATATTTAAAGGCAAACTGCATGCTACCACTGACAAAAACAGTATTATCTTTCGGGATTCATCTGCAAAAAAAAAAAAAAAAGGCCTCCCTTATTACATTCTTGAGACTAGTCAGTGAAATACAACTATGTCGATAGGTTTGTGGCCCTTTGCTTAAATAACTAACTCAAACATTGTTTTATATTTAAAATTCAAAGGATAGAAGTAAACCATTTCTGTTTCAAGCAAGTCATTTCAGCTCGGAGTGCTCTCAATTGGAGAGCAAGGCACAGTTTCTAGGTAACCAGCTCCACCCACTCTGAAACTCTCCTTAGTATTGCATCAAATTGGAATACAAAGCAGCTCGTACATGCTCTGAATGCCTCCTCATCTTGGGCATCTTCAACCTTCACTTCATCCCTTCTTTGCCCCACCTCTACTGACTTCTCTTTCCTTCTCTCATCCTCTCCCTCCACATTAACTCTGTCACCCACTTCCCTTGACACGACACAGTTGACCATGTCATCCTCATTCACTGCCTTCTTGTGGATAGACACCACAATTGCACTCTAGAACACTGGCGGGGTGCATGCCTCAGAGAGAGTCCTGTTCACCAGCTGTAGGAGGGCATCTCCAAGGCAAGTTGGGTGTTCCTAGCTTGGACCTTTTAGATCCTTACCATTCTCCATCTCCTTCCTCATAGCAACGTTTAGGAATTCAGCATTGATGCTGTCTATACCAGCTGGCTTGCCATTGGCGCCGCAGTGCAGAGTGCACCTCCTCCCAGCGGATTGGGTCATTTAGGCCTTCATTATGGACAACGTTTCCCGCCACCAACTACAGCCTCCACGCAAATGGGTCTCTGCTGAGGCCTGTTGGGTCAGATGCCAACTCCGCGTAATGGGTCTGTTGTAGAACCCCGGACTTGTCCAATAATGGTATGGGACCCAGAGGGGCCCCTCCAGCCATGGCCAACAACAGACTTCAGGCAGCGGAAGAAAAATTTGGGATTGTCCTTGTGCAATTGTGCCCCTTTTTGGAGTGATGCGGCCCATTGATCCCGCTTCATTTCTCTGGTGACTTTCCTAACTTCATGTCGTGCTTAGTCGCAAGTTGATGTTAGCTAATAATGGAAACTCCCACCAGTTTCAGTCAGTAAACTATCACAGAAAGAGATGTACAAACTCTTGCAACAATTTTCCACTTACCTTAACATTATCAGATTTCATCTCATACTCTGTAAACAATCCTTTCAAAAATCCAGTAGTCTTTATAACCTGTGAACAAAATGGAAAACTGCTTTAAACATGTTTTATGTGTCAATTTTGCAGATCATGCTTGACAAATATTCAAAAGAAAAATGTGTAAGAACATTCATTTTTACTATACTTTTGTAGCAAAATGAATTGGACTTAACAACAATTATTTATTCCCCCCCCCCCATCCTTACCTTCCCCAAAAACAACTCACAGCTTGGGTACAAACCCTCGAAAAACCTGGCAACAAAAAAGTACCCAAAGATATTCAAAAGGGAACAAATAGAAAACCACAGGACAGCAACTCCACAAAGTGAACAACAAAACACGTAAAGAGCTTGTGCAAGAAATTAACTGGAACTGGTACTTAAAAAAAGCAGCAGACTCCAATCGAAAGTATATAAAACAGAAAATGGAATGTTTGATTAAAACAGAAACTGAATTCTGCAAGCAATTTTCTTTAGTGGCTCATATTAACTATTTAAATATGAAGTATCAGACATCCCAACCATGATAATATTTGATCATTTCTGGATGACACCTAACAAAAAAAGCTGTATTGCAAATAATGTGCTTTTCTCTATTAGCTTCCAGCACAGAGAAACAATAATAATAAAGAGATCGGTTGGCGCAAATCTTTTTATTCTAATAAACTAGGCTTACTTAAATTAACTTAAAAGTTGTAATAGCAAATTACTTTTCTTTAACTGAAACCTTGGAATACAAGTTGATTGAATTGTTGTCAGGTGACCTGGTTCAATTCCAGTTCTTGTTTGAACATTACCGGAAGTCTTTACTGATCAACACTGATTACTTGGCAACACCAATGCTAACAAAGTGCTCTCAACACTTAACAGTCATCCAATTACAGGGATGGAAAAGACTTATACCATTGCAATCAGTAACACTAATATCTATTTAATACAAAGCAGCTGGAACAAATAATTCACAATGATGGGGGTAGATGATAAGCAAGAGAGAAGGGAGAAATGAGAGCAGAATTTTAGAGAAGATTTAAAGATAGAAATCGGAAGAAAGGGAGTAGAAGGAGGGAGTTTCAGAGTTAGCTGTGTAGTAGCTGAAGATAGGATATACAATTAGTCTGAGTTTGTCAAACAGAGGAGTATATTACAAGAGTCCTGTAGCTTAGTGGTTCAACCACTCGCCTCACAAGCGAGAGGACCTGGTCACGATTCCCGGCAGGGCGAAACATTGGGGCAAGTTTCCTTACTCCACATGCCTCTGTTTACCAAGCAGCAAGTAGCAGCCCAGTTGTTGGTCGATTGGCAGATCACCTTTCTGGGGGCAATAATTCCTTCAAAATAAATATATAACTTGGCCACTCAATCCTAGACTGTTTGTGGGACACTACTGTGCGCAATTGGCTGCTGTGTTTCGCTCACAAAATATACAGTCAATTCACTTCACAGTATATTCTATGGAGTGCTTTGAGCCATCTTGAAGATGTGATAAATACAACGATTATTATTTCAGGAGCTGTCCAAGAGCAATAAAAAGGCACTCACTTCAGCATGAACTTGCGCTCACACACACACACACATATATATATATAAAAATATATACATAAAAAAATATATAGAGCACCTTTTGCAAAAAGAGTCTCATTTCTCTAAACAACAATGCAAGAACCAAACAAGAAGGACCTTGAGGCTGACCAAAGAAATGGTTAAAGAGATGCATGTTTAAGTGAACGAGATATGACAAAAGGCAAAGGGATTTGGGGAGAAGGTTCCAGAGTGTTGAGTTGTAGTGAGAAAAAGAATAGTAGAGCAGTCAAGCAAGAGAATAAGTCCCAAAATTGCATTTTTAATCATTGGGTACTTTTTTTTCCAGAAGCAAACACGTGAGTCTGGAGAATTTTCTCCATATTAGAAGTTATTTTTCAGGCGATTCCGAGAAACAATACCTGGAAACTTATACGATACTTTTGTGTCCATCCCACTGATTGATTGCCCTAATGTACTTTTCAAACCACATTTTTTCTGTTCAATGAATCCAATATTTAATATCATGATAGAAGTCAATGAAAGCCAGCCCATTAGACGTATTCAATGCTTGAAAGCAAGATAAGCGACAACTCCCATTCAACCCAGAACTAGTCAACATCAAACATACATTCAGCTCAACAACTCAACCATTGCTCCATTGAACATGAAGAAACAAATATTTACACTATGTAGAAGTTAACTAGGCAACACCATTGAAATTAAAACCTTATCTGCTCCATAGAGAACATAAACAAAGCTATGTTCTTTGATGTCATCAATCTTCCAGTTGGGTCACAATGATACCACCATCACATGAATAAAAACACATAAATCTCTCCTTCACTTAAACATGTATCTCTTTGACCATTCCTTTGGTTAGCCTCCAAGTCCCCATCCTTCCTATTTGGTTTTCACATTGCCATTTAGAGCAATGAGGCATTCTTCAAAAGAAGCCATATATGGGCAAGTTCATAAGCACCAAACATTTCAGGCACCATCATCATCATAATAATCCTTGCATTTGATATGGTGCTTTACGTTGTTGAGACGTCTCAAAGTGCTCCACAGGATATACTGTAGAGTGAACTGAATATATAATTTGTGGGTGAAATTAAGCAGCCAATTGCGCACAGCAATGTCCCACAAATATTAATAATAGTAATCAATGGAATGGTTCTCAGATTTATGTCAGTTAGGCAGCTCATAGAAGCGAAAATCTTTATAATAATAAATAATAATCCTCACATTAGCTATTTCACGTCTTCTAGACGTCTCAAAGCGCTTCACAGGATATAACAACAAAATTATATTTGTATAGCGCCTTTCACGTCACGAGGCTATCCCAAGGCTCTGGACAGAGAGTTTCAGACCCGAGCTGGGGATTAGGGAGGGCGGAGGATGGGGAAGCAGGGAGATCGAAAGCACAGTCGAAACAGGGGGTCTTGAGATGGGTCTTGAAGGAGGCAAGGGAGGACAGCGAGACTGTGGAATGGAGCTCTAGAAGGTGGGGGCTGAGTGGCAGAAGGCCTGCCTGCCAATAGTGGGGCAAGCGAGGCAGGGGGCGTGAAGCAGGCCGGAGCCCACTGAGCGGAGGGAGCGAGCAGGATGTTAGGGGGTTAGGAGGTTACAGAGGTAGGGGGCAAGCAAGACCATGGAGGGCTTTGAAGGTGAGGACCAGGATCTTAATAATAATAATCCTTGCATTTTATATAGTGCTTTTCACGTCTTCTCGACGTCTCAAAGCACTTTCATGTAATGAAAGCATGTATGAAGGTTTCAGCAGCCTGCGGTGTGAGACAGTGGCGAAGCCAGGCGATGTAAAGTGAATTGATTATATAATTTGTGGGCGAAACGCAGCAGCCAATTGTGCGCAGCAATGTCCCACGAATATTAATAATAATTAATGGAATGTTTCTCAGATTTATGTCAGTTAGGCAGCTCATAGAAGTGAAAACCATTATAATAATAATAAATAATAATAATCCTTGCATTAGCTATAGTGCTTTTCACGTCTTCTAGACGTCTCAAAGCACTTCACAGGATATACTGTAAAGTGAATTGACTGTATATTTTGTTGGCAAAAGAGGCAGTCAATTGCGCACAACAGCGTCCCACAAATAGCCAGGGATTGTGTGACCAAATTATTAATGTTTTTTTTTCTTGAGGGATTATTATCCGGCGTGTGGAGTAAGGAAACTTGCCCAAGTTTTCGCCCTGCCGGGAATCTGACCCAGCTCTATCGCTTGCAAGGCGAGTGCTCTAACCACTGAGTTACAGGACTCCTTCTTTCCTTCTTACATAAGTTAAGTTTAAGAAATTTCAAATCAATAAATGAAGAGGCATCAGGTTACAAATACAAAAATTACATTTGTATAGTGCCTTTCATGAGGGAGGACATCCCAAGTGCTGATTAGCAAAAGGAACCAGTCTAAAACAATGAGGACAAAGCTGGCATGAAATCCTGCACAAACTACTGAAATTAGATCTTTACATTTTGCTTTATTTTTAAAAATGACAGTTCACTTATTCATCCAAGCAATAATACAAAATTCAGTGAACAATGAGAAAAATAAAAATAATTTGAGGGTAATCCATATAGAATGTATAGTGAAGCTTAAACAATGCTTTTTTGTGCTGGTGCATCATGATGAAAAAAACTTGCAAACTATGCTGTTTATAGCACTTACCACACACATTTGAAACTTTCTAAAAGTGTTATCACATGTATAAAGCTATACACATAAAGCTGAGTGTGGGGTTGCAAAACGATACATCTCAGCAGGGGAAGGGAAAGAGTGAAAAATACAATAATGAAGAAGCCATATTTCTTGCCATCTTAACTGACACAAACCAAATGATTAAGTAACTAAGAATAATGAATCAGAGAACTCTAGAAATTCACAGCATATCAATAACCACATGAAATAGAAAAGCAAGTTAACATTTCCAGTTTATTCTGATGGATGCATCACACAAAAAACAAAATCCATTTTTCACTTTTCAGGCATGACCTGAAGAAGGGGAAGGAAGGGGAAAAACAAAAAAGGGAAAGAGGATGGAGATTCCAGAGTTTTAGGATGTAGTGGCTAAAAGCGTGGCCACCAATGGTGGACTGAGGGCACGAGGGATGTGCAGAAGGCTGGAGTCAGTCGAGCGAAGGCCGTGGGTAGTAGATTGGGGGGTAAGCAGGTCGGAGAGGCAGGGAGATGCCAGGGCATGAAGGGATTTGAAAACGAGTCTGAGGTTCTTGAAATCAATCTGTTCGGCGATAGGGAGCCACTGGAGCCTGACTAGAACTGGTGGGATGGGGGTACAGAGTTTAGTGCGGGTGAGTATGAGGGCGGCGGAGTTTTGGATTAGCTGGATCTTATGCATGGTGTAGCTGGGGAGATCGGCAAAGAAGGCATTTGAAAAGTCAAGTCGGGAGGGGACAAGTGTTTCGGCTGCATCTGGGGTAAAGTACGGACGGAGGCAGGCAACGTGGAAGTGAGTCCTGGTCAGGGACCGGATGTGGGGAAGGAACGACAGTTGTGGGTCGAACCTGACGCCAAGTTGCGCACCAGTTCGATGAGTCTGAGTGATAGGCTGAGGAGGTCAGAGCATAGAACAGAACATGTTGATGGGAGCCAAGGAGTATGGTTCCATCTTGTCAACATTTAGTTGTAAGATGTTTTCGCTCATCCAGGCCCAGATGTCTGCAAGCCAAGCCAACAGAACATCTGTGGACCTAGAGTCATGATTGGAGGAGAAGTAGATCTGTGTGTCATCCACATACAATGTAAAAGCTTATCCAGGGTCTGTGGATGTCATCTCCAAGAGGCAGCTTATAGATGACGATGAGGAAGGGGCCAAGGATGGAGCACTGGTGTACACCACCGGTGACCGGATGGGGGTGGGAGGAGAAACCATTTGAAGAGACAAAATGAAGGCGGTTTGTTAGGGGTGAACTAGACTAGTGCGGTCCCACTAAGGCGGATGAGGAAGGCGAGCTGGTGGATGAGGATGGCATGGTCAACTGTGTCAAACGTGGCGGAGAGCTCCAGGAGGACGAGGAGGCAGAGGGAGCCCTGGTCACAGAGAGGGCATCATTTGTGACCTTGACAAGCTCCGTCTGTGCTGTGGGCAGGGCAGAAAAACAGACTGGAGAGGCTTGAGGAATGAGTGGTGCGAGGGTTGTAAACAAAGCTGGTTAGCGACAACACATTCCAAAGCTTTGGCAAGGAAGCGCAGGTTGGAAATGGGACACTAATTCATAAGGTTGGAGAAGTCAAGAGTGGGCTTTTTGAGGAGCGGTTTTAAGGGGGAGAGGACCAGAAACTGAGAATAGCGACTGGTTTCTTACGTCGGTCAGCAGTGGGGAGAGGAAGGGGAGTTGGGTGAGCAGCAACTGGTTGGGGAAAGGGGGTCCAAACAAGCAGGTGGGGGAACTTGACAAGTTGGGACTGTTCCCAGTGGAACAGCAATTTCATAGAATAAAAGGCTACTTCCTGCTGATGCTATAAACTTTCTACGTTCCCTCAGTGAGCCCAGCCGAGCTCAGTGGGTTTTATCCATTGATCTCTATGGAGTTGGTCGGCGATCTGGCGCCGATGATAAAGAGGCGTCGTTCAACCCTCAATGCTGTGTGTCCGAGGGACAGGTCCATTTACAGCCGACACTTTACACCAGTCCGGCCAGAATGAAGCGGCCCCGACCTCTCTCTCGCGCTCTCTCTCTCTCTCTGTCTCGAAATGAACGGCCAGACGAAAAGCCGCTCCGGCCGCCCCGTTTGTCAGGTTAGGCCACGGAGAGGGGAGTGGCACCGCGGCCCGAGCGCCTCGCGAGCGCCTAGCAACCGCCCCGCGCCGCGCCGCGCCGCGCGCTCACCTCGGTGAAGATATCGTGCAGGTAGCGGAACGGCGGTTTGCTCAGCAGCTTCTCCGTCAGCGGCGGCTTCTTGATAACCTTACCCAGCGTGTCCTGGGTCCGAGTGGTGAACTGGACGCTCATGGCGTTCGGCGAATGTTCGTTCAATTTAACCGCATTGGACGGACGAGAGGATCCTGTCACTGCCGCCGCAACCGCCGCTGCTCAAATCTCAACCGCTTCAAATCGGTTTCCGTCCCAACAGCCACTGCGCGTGCCGCACCACCGCCACCAGCGGCACCGCGCATGCTCGCGCCGTGACTGCCGTCGCCCAGGCAACCGCCACAACAAATCCTTCACGTGATGCGAGCCCTGCGTGCCACGTGGTTCGGCATCTACCGCACGTGACGTGGCTTCTCTCTCTCTCTCTCTCTCTCCCACCCCTTGCAGTAGCCACAGAAACGTTGACATCTTCAAAACAACCAAACTCATAGTCACACCACCTTACAGTGATATACTTTGTAAACCAAAACCCGGGGACACACATATAAAAAACCTAACTCACCACAATGCTTGATGGTGGCAGTACTGGAGGAGCTCGTTGGATTTCTCTGATGATAACAATAATCCTGGCATTTGATATAGCGCCTTGTCATGCCTTCTAGACGTCTCAAAGCGCTTTAAAGAGCATACTGAAAAGTGTAGTGACTGTGTATTCTGTGAGTGAATTAATGTTAAAATGTTATTGTTCTTGCTCAATTTATTGCTGAACTCAAGACAGGGCAAATTTAGCCAGGGAGACACAATACCTCATCTGGGCAATGTCCACAGAAATCAACAACAATAATAAGATTCCATTTGTATCGCGCCTTTTACGTCTGGAGGACGTCCCAAGGCGCTGGACAGAATACAGCATTTCAGACCCGAGCTGGGGTTTGGAGGGGTAAGTGAGGGGAGGGGTGGCTGATGGCGTGGTCAAAGAGGAGGGTCTTGAGGCGGGACTTGAAGGAGGCTAAGGAGGGGTCGAGGCAGAGTGACTGGGGGATGGAATTCCAGAGTTTGGGGGCAGAGTGGCTGAAGGCTCTCTCACCAATGGTGGGGCGGGTGGGTCAGGGAACATGGAGCAGGCCAGAGCCGGGGCTGAGTGGAGGGAATGGGAGGGTTGGTAGGGTGTTAGGAGGTCTCAGTGGTAGGGTGGGGCAAGGCCATGGAGGGCTTTGTATGTGAGGACCAGGATCTTGAACTGGATCATCTGAAGGATAGGGAGGCAGTGGAGTCGGGCGAGAGTGGGGGAGATGGGGTCATGGAGTTTGGTGTGGGAGAGGACACGGGCTGCAGAGTTCTGCATCAGGGATGTACGGTCATCCTACTTTAGTGTATTCCCGGGAATCACTTTGGGACATCCTCCCTACGTGAAAGGTGCTATACCAAATGACATTCCATTCCAACACAGTAATTACCAATGTGTTCGGTTGGGATGCATTGGAATTCTTAGTTTGGTTTGGATACTCTTAAAGTATAAATACTAATAATTGCGTTTGGTATAGCGTCTTATCGCGTCCGAAGGACGTCTCAAAGTGCTTCCCAGGATTTACTGTGAAACGGAGTGACCGTGTATCGGTAGGTGGACCCGGACTGCGAATGGCGTTTAAAAGAAAATGCAAGTTGTTGTTGTTGTCCCAACGATTATGATAAATCAAATGCAGGGAATATAAAAAAAGGCGCCAAAAAGAAATGGCCCGCCGCGCCGCCATTGGACGGCGGTTGTGATGGGCAGCTTCTGGACCAATAGGATCAGGCGGCACCGCGCAGGACACGCCCAGCCCCGTCTCCTGACCCGGTGACCCCCGGGACCGCAGCCCCGGGAAGGCCTCGGGCGCCGTGGATGGAGTCGGGCGGTGGCAGGCGAGCGGCGGCTGGTCGCCGGCAGCGGGACTCGCTCGGCCCGCGGGAGGTGGAGAGGAAGTTTCAGGAAGTGTAAGTAGATTTTTATTCTATTTTTTTAAAAAAAAACTTCAAAAAAGCCTTTCATGTAAAGTTGGAAATCAACTCCGGTCCGTGTGACGGAGCGTTCAGTCCCATTGCAATCCGACACCTACGTTTTAAACACTTTAACTCGTATATGGTTTACTCGTTTATTTTGTGTGTGTGTGTGTGTGGGGAGGGGGGGGAGGGGGGAGGAGAGCGAGTCCTTAAAGGATCCGGCGCCGCCAGCAAAAGCTTTTAGTCTTTGTGTGTCAGTTCACGACAAAAATGAGGCTCATTGGTGGTATTTTTACTCTTATTAGAAAGTTAGGTTTGAGCCCAAAATCCAGCCACAGTTGTGGTTACAGCGCTCGCCTCGCAAGCGAGACACTTGGGTTCAATTCCCGGCAGAACAAAACCTTGGGCAAGTTTCCTTACTCCACACTCCCGATAATAATCCCTCCCAAACAAAACCAATGATAAACTGGTCATTTTCAATCCACGACTGTTTGTGGGACATTGCTGTGCGCAATTGGCTGCTGTGTTTCGCCCACAAATATACAGTCAATTCACTTTACAGTGAAGCGCTTTGAGATGTCAAGAAGACATGAAAAGCGCTATATCAAATGCAAAGATTATTATTATTATTAAGAAGATCATAGTCACCGTTTTCTGGTTTGCAAAACATGGGGGGAGGGGGGGGTGTTCTCTAGGTTCTCTGGCCAAATACTCCTCCCTCCTTCATAACTCAGGAACCTCTTGGGGCGGGATGGGGAAGGAGGGAGGGAGGGAAGCGGGGTTTCCTTGGAACTGAACTGTCGTCAACGTGACATACTTGGCTAAGGAATGTCCAAGTCAAGTCACCCTTCTGTTGTGCTCTCAAATAATCTGAGTTCCTGAGCCAGGTGGGACCACAGTACTCCTCATTGGCAGGAATTGGACAGGCAGATTGTTGGACCATACTACTTGGGGCAGGGATTCTTCCCACTAAAATCCTTTAATCCTGCAAGCGCAAAGTGGTTCTGGGGCTGGACAAATAGTGGTAGTCAAGCTAAGCAGTTTTAGAAGTATCCCAACACACACTCTGGAGTCCCCAAGCCTTGGCTCTTGCCAACCTGCACTTAATACTTTCTGAAATTAGATATGCAGGATATGCCTCTCTAGGAGAATGTGTGCATTCCATTCCAGACCCTGGAATTTCCACTGACCATTCACTTTATTGTTTATAACAATAATCTTTGCATTTGATATAGCGCCTTATCACATCTTTGAGACGTCTCAAATCGCTTCACATAATATACTGTAAAGTGAATTGACTGCATATTTGGGGCTGAAATGTGGCAGCCAATTACACACAGGAATGTCTCACAAACAGTTGTGGATTGAGTGACCAATTTGGGATATTGTTGACAATGATTTGCCTACATAATAGTATAATATTATATACATAATGGTTAATGTACTTGAAAGTATTTCATTTTGTCAAAGGGATTTGAGATGTTTATGTGCAATGTGATATTGTATCAAAAGCAGTTATTATATACGAGTTAAATGTTGTGTTGTGAGTTTGATATCCTCAGGTATGGTGAGAGGCAAGCAGGGTCTAAGGTGACCTGCCTGGTAATGGAATGTCGGAATTGAGCCAACCCTCTGTGGTAGTCCCTTGGTAGTCCAGTTCTTGAGCCAGGTGGGTCTGCAGTATTCCAGGGCACTGCTGATGATTGCACAGCCAGCCTGACACATTGGCAGGACCTAGAAAGGCAGACCAGTCACTGGGGGTTGAGAATCATCCTGCTCAGCTACTGTTATCTCTGCAAGCCAAAGCCCTAATGGGTATGGTGGTCCTAGCTGGTCAAGTATTCTCGGCAGGGTGAAACCTTGTGCAAGTTTCCTTACTCCACATGCCTGATAATAATCCCTCAAAAAAACTAATAAATTGGTCATTTAATCCACGACTGTTTGTGGGACGCTGCTGTGCGCAATTGGTTTGTTGCATTTCGCCTGCAAACATACAGTCAATTCACTTTACAGTCTATTCTGTGAAAGCGCTTTGAGACGCTTTGAGACGAAAGCGCTCAATTAAATGCAAGGATTATTATTATTATTAAGTAGTGGGAAAGCTTTCCAGAAAGCATAATAATGATAATCCTTGGTAATAAAACTCACTACTTGTCGGCCTCCCCAACTCCTCTCTCCATAGGCTGCAGATCATCCAGAACTCTGCAGCCCGTGTCCTCTCCCGCACTAGGCTCCGTGACCCTATCACCCCCATCCTCGCCCAACTCCACTGGCTTCCCATCACACAGAGGATACCGTTCAAGATCCTGGTCGTCACCTTCAAAGCCCTCCATGGCCTTGCTCCCCCCCCCCCCCCCCCAGTCTGCAACTTCCTAATCCCTTACCATCCTGCACGCTCCCTCCACTCAGTGGGCTCCTGCCTGCTTCACGTCCTCCACCTCACTCGCCCCACTATTGATGGTCGGGCTTTCTGCCACTCTGCCCCCACCCTCTGGAACTCCATCCCACAGTGCCTTCACCTGGCCTCCTCCTTTGCCACTTTCAAGACCCATCTCAAGACCGTGCTCTTTGACTGTGCTTTTGATCTCCCTGCTACCCCTGCACTCCACCCTCCCCGATCCCGACCCCCAGCTCGGGTCTGTAACAGGCGCTTTACAAATGTAGTTTTGTTGTTGTTGCATTTGATGTAGCTCTTTTCACCTCTTCTAGACGTCTCAAGGCGCTTCACAGAATATACTGTAAAGTGAATTGACTATTTGTGGGCAAAATGTGGCTACCAATTGCACACAGAAGCGTCCCAGAAACAGTTGTGGATTGAGTGACCAAATTTTTTTTTTTGGAAGGATTATTATCCCCAGGAAAGCGATCCGCCAATAGACTAACAACCAGGTTCCTACTTACTGCTAGGTAAACGGGGGCGTGTGGAGTAAGCAAACCTGCCCAACCTTTCGCCCTGGGTGTCGGTATTCTATCCTCTGGGGGTTGTGGGTGAGGGTGATGGAGTCACGGAGCCTGGTATGGGAGAGAACATGAGCTGCAGAGTTCTAGATGATCTGCAACTTGTGGAGTGAAGAGTTGAAAAGGCCAACAAGCAGGGAGGTGGTGTAGTCGAGCCTATATGTGATGCGTGGATGAGGGTTTCGGCGACCTGAGGGGTAAGGCTGTGGCTGAGCCGGGCGATGTTGCGGAGATGGGGAAAGGCAGAGGGTGTCATGGCACGGATGTGGGGTAGAAAGGACAGTTGAGGGTCAAACAAGAGGCCAAGGTTCCGGACTAGCTCAGTGAGGTGGAATGTGCATCCTTGGACATTTCCAATGTGTAGCTTGAATACATATGTGGAACTTTAGTTTGAATACTCTTAAGCATGATGATGGATTTCCATATGTCTGATACCTGACCGACCAAAACAAGTTTCGATGTGATGTTTCTTTCGTCTCCTTTTTCTCTACTACTTATGTCTCTCCTTGGATTGGTATTCACGGCTTGGCTAACTCATTGTTCAATATTTTTACAATTGCAGATATAACTCCTTGCTTGGAACCAAATATGGCATTAGAAAAATGTCACCTACGAACAGCCTGTGTGCTCAGCTGCCTAAACCTGGAGATTCATACAGCTTCAAAAAGGGACTGCAAAATACTTTCTGTGAAAATAGTGCCATTGAAGATGTTTTAAAATGTAAACTTTCCAAAGATATGCCAATATCAGACCTATCTCGATCCAATATACTGAAGCATCAAACTGGAGAGGCAACCAATTCTTGGATCAATAGCATTCCAGCACCAAGCCTAAATGTCAAACAAGTTGGTATGAAATGTAATGAATTTCCAGGGGGAGTAAAATCAAGCATGAACTCAAATACAGGATTTCATTCTTCTCCTGTGATGGATCCAGACCTTCAAATTCTGAGTTTCAGCTCTGCTAATAATGATTGGAATGAAGGAGGAAGCTCTGAATTGTCCTGTGATAATGATGATGTTCTGTCAATTGATTCTGGAGAAGCTGTCAGAGAAACTGTGACTTGTAAGGCTTGTTCGAAATTGCTTTTGAAAATGATCAATCAGAAGAAAACCATGTCAAAAAAAAATAAACTTACATTAAAGAAGAAAAAGCCTTACGGTAGGATAATTTTCTTGATTTGTGTATAAAAGTACAGATTGTATGTGCTTGCCATTTCCAGTGATGTAACAGAAAGTTATTCGTATGCAGTTTCAATTGCATGTGGTAGCAAGAACTAAGTTTGAAAACGTTCATTGCAAATTGCTTGCATCTCCCTATTTTAAAACTTCAAGTGGTGAGAGTCAGTGTGCTCTCCTGATCTCTCTGGCCGCCAATTGCCTGTTTGCATTTTGTTAATTGTAAACGGGTGACTGGAAACTGTTTGGAAACTGAGCAGGATACTGAGCAAGAAGTTGGCAATTTTTTCCCTTTCTCGTCTGATGGCTCTGATTCTCTCTGGAGAATTTTGCCGTGTCCTGACAGGCTATCCCTTAGCCAAATGGCCATTTGTCGTGTACGAGTCAGAGTTTTTCTTTACCCAGAGAGTAAACAACAATCAGAAAAGATTCCTAGAAAGTGGGTGGTCAGGCCAGCGTACTGGACTCATTGGAAAAAGTTTGGTGCTGCAATAGAAGGAGACAGGGTGGGTATTCTGAAAGAATAAGATCAAATGGGCCAAAGTTCCTTTTTACATTCAAAATTCTCTTAACTAAACAATAGTCTGCTAACTCCTTATCAACCTGTCCATTCCCTCCACTCAGCAGGCTCCGGCCTGCTCCATGTCCCCCGCCCAGCCAGTCATCGGCGGTTGGGCTTTCAATCTCTCTGCCTCCACCCTCTGGAACTCCACAGATTCCCTTTGCCTCGCTTCCTCCCTTGATTACTTCAAGCACGCCTCAAGACCCTCCTCTTCGACCATGCCTTCAACTACATCAAATGAAAGGATTATTATTATAATGCGTATAGGCTGCAATAACATGTCTTCATTTATATAACCTTTTTTTTAGAACCTGCCTTATTATCCTGTGACCAATGGGTTTTGAAAAAGCCATCACTACCCCGAAATGAACTGCCACCATATAGAAGGCAAGTGTTTTTGTACCTTTGTGCAAAATAGTTTCTTCTGATTTTTTGATTTTTGCTTCCCGGTGGATATCCACGATTGTGCCCTCTTATTAGCGGCTGTTTGTGGCACTTAGCTGTTCTCAAATTAACTGCTGCATTCACTTACAAATACAGAGTTACTAAAACCTGAGATGTTTCAACGACTAGATAAGGGAAACAAATTTGCATTTAATGGGGAAACCTGTTAAGTCAGACACATCTGGGACGAACGATTTGTCCGGCTTAAGAGGCATCTGACGTTAACCAAAATACCATTCCTGCTCAGTAGAGGGACAATGCCGATACCATATAATAATATGTAATAATGTTGTTTCAATTGATGCAGTGTTAACTAACTGAACACGATACCCAAATATTTAGCCTAGGAGTTAAAGTTAAAATACTGTACTTTCACAGAATTTAGTAGAATACATTTGTTTGACTGCAAAATACCTTCCCGCCCAGCAGAGGGGCAGCGGCACCTCCTCCCTCCCGTTGCCGCTCTTATTGGATGGGAGGGGACCAATTCCATTCACAAATGGTTCCCGCTGTAAATCAATCGCAATTTGACTCCTCCCATTCCCTCCCTTGTTCGTCCCGTTCCTCCAGCCCCTCACTGATTGATAGCCCAACTCCGGCCACTTGTGAATGGCTGGAGTCTGTTGTCGATCAATCTTAGACTCCTACTGTCTACATCCCGGAGTCGCTTGTGGCTGAATGGAGAGGCCTGAGTGAATTCATTCAGCGGTGACCAGCACGGCATTTTGACCAGATTAACCGTATTTTTGTCTGAATTAACCAGCATATTTGTAATGGGTAAAAATACACCTGATTCGGACGCCTTCCGTTTTGTACGATTTAACTGGCGTCCTGGGTTAATCGGCGACAGTCCGCATAAGGAGATTCCACTGTACATAGCACCTTTCACATCAGGAGGACATCCCAAGGCCCTTATCAAAAATAACTTTGTTCCCTGGTTGAGGGTGAGAGTTGAAGGGGTGATTGTATCGAATGTTAGTTATTATTAATTATTAGTGGAAGGTTTCTTTTCTGTTTACCCTGTACAAATCTATTTGGAATTGTGAAAACCTCTGAGCCTGAATGGAGTACAGTTAGCTGCATGTGTGAAATGTTAACCTTCTCTGATCTAAGGAGAACAATCCCAGCCCCTCTAGTCTCTTCACATAATTGAAGTCCCTCATCCCTGGTATAATTCTGTAAAATAACTAATAATCCTTCCATTTGATATAGCACCTAACCACATTGTTGAGATGTCTCAAAGCCCTTCACAGTATTTTGTGGGTAAAATGCAGCAACCAATTGTGCACAGCAGTGTCCCACAAACGGTCATGGATTGAGTGACCAACAACAAGAAGATTACATTTGTATAGTGCCTTTCACATCGGGAGGACGTCCCAAGGCGCTGGACAGAGTACTGAATTTCAGACTCAAGATGGATTGGGGAGGGGAGGGGTGACCAATGGCATGGCCAAAGAAGAGGGTCTTGAGGCGGGACTTGAAGGATGCTAAGGAGGGGGCAAGGCAGAGTGACTGGGGGGTGGAATTCCAGAGGTTGGGGCAGAGTGGCTGAAGGCTCTCCTGCAGGTGGGTCGGGATTTTTTGTTTTGTTTTTGAAGGATTATTACCCCTGAAAATCCACCAATCGACGGGTTCCTACTTGCTACTAGGTAAACAGAGGTGTGTGACTAAAGAAACTTGCTTAGGGTTTTGCCTTGACTGGGAATCAAACCCTTGTATTCAAGTCCCTGCACCCCCCTACCTCTCTGACCTCTCTCCTCAAAACAGTACCCGTTGCTATCGTTCCTCCGGGGCTGGCCTCCTCCTCGTTCCGCGAGTCCTCCGCTCCATCCGCGGCAGCCTTGCTTTCAGCCACTATGCCCTGAGGCTCTGGAACTGCCTTCCCCACTCCCTTTGTCTCGCTCCCTCCTTTCCCAGTTTCAGGTCTCTGTTGAAGATCTTTCTTTTCGACTGCACCTTTGGTCACCTTCCTCCCCCTCCCCCCAGCTCGGTCCCGAGATCCGTTACTGAAAAGCGCTCTGAGACGCCGTCCGGCGTGGAGGGCACTATATAAATCCAAGTTGTTGTCCTCCCATTTGCAAGGCGAGCCCACTAACCACTAAGCGATGGGACTCCACAAACTCCATCAACGTTTTAAGTGTCTCTACAAGCCTTATGGTATTGCTAACCTAGTAAGAGGGAATTTTCTTGTGCTTTAGAGTTGGAAAGTCTTAAATGCTTCCTCTGGATATGGTTCCTCCCTTGACTATACATACCCCAGCTTCATATGATGCCATCAATATGATTCCATCAACCATCAGTAGGTTGGTCTACTGGCTCTCTGGTTGTTTTGTGGCCTGAATGGTTGATAGGACAGATTTCAATTTGTTTTCTCATTGCAGAAAAATCCATTCACTAGTAAAATATCTGCACAAAAGAGCTCAAAGCCAGGTTGTTGTAAAGAAGAGAATTCAATGTTGCCGGCCTCATGTGTTTCTGCAAAGGTAAAAACTCTGAATTATTTTTTCAAAGGTTTTTTTTCTATTACAGGTAATTATTTTTCACGATAGCTGTAATCAGATATTCTTGCATCTCCTGCCCTAAACCATACACGACAGGGCTCATTGTATCTGGGGTGAGTGGAACCAGACCAAGTGCTCTTTGAAGAGCATACATTTCAATTAGTACACAATTCTATAATATGCAAATGTTACATTTTGAGGGTGGATGACTTGGTAACTCCTGGTTCTACATGCTCTACTGAATCGAGAAACATCTAGAGGGAAGACCTTTTACTTGAAATAGTTCTTTAGAAATCGAGGGGGGAGGGAGGAGGCATTTCTTGGCACTTATTTCTGAACCTACTTTCCACTTATCAATTCTTTTGATGAATATTTTGAACCAAATATTTAACAATTCAAGGCAGACATTGTGAAACTTTGATCTTTAGTAAAATTGGTTGTATTTTTTCACTAAAAATAACTTTTTTACTGATAATAATTCTTGCATTTGATGTAGTGTCTCATCATGCCATCAATATATCTCAACCCACTTACAGGATTTATTGTAAACTCTTTTGACTATATTTGTACGCAAATGCAGCAGCCAATTTACACGCAGCAATATGGCACAAATGTGCATAAGTGAAAATTGTTGTCTACTACACAAGGAGGAACTCCTTTCTAGTAGTTCCACTAAAGTCTCATTCAAAGGACGGCACCTCTAACAATGCAGCACTCTCCCAGCAATAGACTGGAGTGTTGGCCTCAACAATGAGCTCAAAGTCCCAATGTGGGGCTTCAATCTTCAGTTGAAATTGTATTAGTTAAGGTGTTATCATTTGGATAAGATGTTAAACTGAGAGCTTATCTGCCTGCTCATGTGAACATTAAAGATACCATGAAACTACTCCAAAAGAGGAGTTTTTCCCAATGTTTTGGCCAACAATCACTTAAATTGAAATTGGTGATTAGTTTTTTTTATCTGGGGGATATTAGCTACGTTCGTTTACAAATACCCAGTCACTCCACTCGTAGTAATTCCTTTGATACTCTTTAGGATGTCCTTCCAACTTGAAAGGCACAGATTCTTTTTTATAAAATCAAAGATTGCTAGTAGCTGCATTGAAAAAATCTAGTGCACAATTGTTCATATTATAAAATATATCAATTTATCAATCAATAGGCTCTTCTCGGGGATGCTGTGTTGACACCTTGCTTGTTCATTTTTTCCTATTTCTCAAACTTACTATTTGGGGAAAATCATAAGCAATGTTTTTTATTCCAGGAATCTACGTCATTGTAAGAGAAAAGTGAAAAAATTCCTTCGTAATCCTCGAAAGAAAAATGGCAAAAAGAAGTTGAAAAGAAATAAGAAAGAGCTCTTTATTTTCAAGCTTTCTGAAAATCGTTCATCTTCCATTGTTATCTCAGACAGTGAAGACAGTGAAGCTGAGCCTCAGATCAGCACATTGAAGAGAAAGCTAATATCTGCTGTTATGTATGGAGAGAACCGGGCCAAAATGAGACTAATGGCTTCTTCTGATGAGGAGGATTTTTATGGTTTCAGTGAAAAATTTAACAGTTCTGAAAGATGCTTAAAGATTCTGCGTAGCAGATTAACACAATGCAAGAGTGGTAGCAGTAGTTCTGTGGATACACCTACATTTGATTTATGCAGGCCATCTAAATTTGGCGAAGAAAAAACTTCACCCATCTATTCAACTTCATCTTCGGAATCTGGAGAAAACAAGCTGTCGCATCACTATGAAAATGAACTGGAAAGCAGGGAAGTGAACACAGTGCAACCCAGTTCATCTTCCTCCAGCTCTTTTGGTTGGCTAAACCCAGGTGGGTTCACATCTATGATAGCTAAGTTGAAAGCTCGATCTGCATTTTCTTCAGGTACTGTTGTGAAAGAGACATAGAATATTTTTCTTTTTATTTTAGACCATTTTCCTGATTGACAACATTGGTGCCTATCTATGTATGTCTAACTCAAGCAAATAGAAAAAATAATTGTGTGATTTCTACGTTATGTTAAATCTCCTCAGTATTTTAATCTAGGAGAATTCAGACCACCTTTACATTTGATCTGTTCTTGTATTGAAAAAGTCCAGCACTTTTGTTTTCTGTCCAAAGATTAAAAATATAACTTTCCTGTTCTTGGTTGTGATGTATCTTGCAAATAATTTTGCACTAGAATATTGAGGGGGGAAAAAACCCAAACCACTTTAGTACACTATAGCACCCTTCACGCAGGATCGTGTCTCCAAATGCTGGATGGACCAGTCTATATGGACTTTCAGAAGGCATTTGATAAGGTTCTACACAAGAGATTTTAGCAAAAATGAAAGCGCATGGATTCAGAGGTAACTTTGTGATGTGGCTTGGTAATTGGTTGGGAGGCAGTGTAAAGATTATTTAAATTTGTGACCCTGTGGTGAAGTAACGACTGACACAAATTATTCATTCGTTGATATTTATTGATGCAAATTAGTAAAGAAATGCATTTCAAAATTGTTTCATCAAATTAATGCTTATGATGGGTTAGTAAAGTTCACTGTAATTAATTGATCAGACAAATACAGTAGCTTTGATGAGAAATTGGTTTGTTAATCCATGTTGATTGTAGTATATCCCTCTTTCCTTGAAATTATTTGCGATTAGGTACTTTATTCCCAAAATTCAGCTCTTCTCCCAAGCTCAGTTCTCCTTTTGTTGAGACTCATTGATCTTGTAAAGACATCTGGCATTCAGCTCCACAAAAGCATATTTTTAGTCAATCGTCGTCTCCTGTTACCAATATACAAGAGTTGTCAACATTCCCTTGTCTTTTTCAAGATTGCAGCAGTTTGTTTCAAACAAGTCTGAATATCACAGATTCAACATCAATTATGTAACGTCTTATCATCGATGATGTTGAAAGTTTGTGTTCTGTAAACATGTTTTCACTGTTCACAGCTGCTGCTTTCCTGAAGCAAACTCGTCCACGAGTCTGCTTGATTTTGCTTTGGTCAACTCAAGCAACCCAGAATTCTGGGATATTTACAACAGGAAACAAAGTAGGGACAAAGGGAATGTTTCTGATTGACAGGACGTGACAAGTGGTGTTCCCCAGGGGTCTGTACTAGGGCCTCAGTTTTTCACCAGGTAGGTAGATGACTTGGATGAAGGCATAGAGTTTTATTTCCAAATTTGCAGACGGCACGATGTTAGAAGGCACAGTAAGTTGTGTAGATGAGAGCAGGAAGTTACAAAGAGATTTAGACAGATTCAGTGAGTGAGCAAAACTAGCAGATGGATTTCAATCTGGGGAGGTGTGAGATCATTTCTATGAATCAATAATAATTAATTATTATTGAGGGTTTATGTCTGACTTAACATTTTCTTTAAAAGTGTTTGCTGATTAATTTAGTTTTCTTTATAAGAGTTTATATTCTATTACAAGTTCTATTTTGTAACCGTTTGGTTGTCCCATTCATTGTACAGTACNTTTTTTTGCACATGTGGTATGATACTGTGCAGTACAGTATATGGGCTATCATAGCTTTAATATGGATGGGTTAAACATGGTACAGACTTGCCTCAATGTCATCAGCCAGTTCAGTCCTTGTGTGTTTGTTATGCTTAAGTCATATAAAATCTGACATACATAACTTGACATAAGTCATTTGATATGTCTTATGCAAGTTTCAAATAACTCATACTTTGCATAAGTCATATTAAATGAATGGTTCCAACTGATATGACTTATGTGAGGTTTATTGTACAATTGTGCTCCAGCATGTCTGGAATAGATTGAACTTTGCATCTTTGAGGTTGACAGCAGAAAAGCAGGGATTTTCACTAAATAGACAGCTACACATTGCACAGAACAGATTGATTGGGTAGCAGTAATTTGCTTTAGATTGGAGTCTGGTATCAGCATGGTTCAGGGGCAGCTTCTGACTCAGAAGGATCTTGGTTCATTTCTCCATGTTGGACTATGAACTACAAATCTAAACTGACACTCCAATGCACTAAAAAGTGCCATATCAAATGTCATTACAAAATGGTAAATATGGCAAAAAAAACTTACTATCGTGTTTTCCCTGGCCTCAGATGATTCCTGTACTGTGGGCAGGGTGGAAATCATAATGGAGCGGCTCATGGAGGGAGAGGTGTGAGCAAATGTGTTGATTTGCAACACCACATTTGTGTACTTTAGTAAGGAAAGGAAAATTAGAATGAGTTATGAGAAGTTAGGACCCTCTGGTGCACTACAACAACTTGCATTTATATAAGCTTCTTTCATGCAGGGTAGCATCTTGGAGAACAGTGGCGGAGCCTGCCGCCAAGCTAAGAAGAGGTGACCCCAAGCAATCGAAAGAGTCTTCAGGCATGATTGAAAATGGGGAAGGGGCAAGGCGGAGGGATTGTTCTAAAGTTTTGGGGTGCAGTGGCTGAAAGCACTCCTGCCAATGGTGGAGTGGAGGGTATGAAGGACAAGCAAGAAGATAAAGCCAGGTGAGCAGAGGCAGCGGGGGTTGAGTGGGGAGTAAGCAGGTTGGAGGTGCTAGGGCATGAAGGGATTTATAGAGGAGGACCCTAAACTTGATCTGTCTGTGATAGGGAGCCTGGCAAGGACTGATGTATGGAGGTACAGAGTTTAGAGCGGGTGAGTATACAGGCAGCAGAGTTTTGAATTAGTTGGATTTTGTGCAGTGAAGTTGGGAGACCAGAAAAGAGGGTATTAGAATAGTTGAGGTGGGAGGTGACAAAAGCATGGATAAGGCTTTCAACTGCATTGGGTGAAGTACAGTCAGAGGCAGGCAACGTGATGGAGGTGGAGCAAAGTGGGTCCTGGTCAGAGACTGAAATTGGTATAAGAGGGACAGCTGGGGAGTGAAACCGCCACCTACACTGCGCCTATAAGTCACAGGAATAGGCTGGTTGAAGAGGGCAGAGCTGCAGAAGAGAAAACTTTAATCAGAGCCAAGGAATATAGCTTCCATCTTATCGACATTCAGCTGCAGGAAGCTTGTGCTTGATGTCTGACAAACAAACTGAGAGACATCAGCAGACTAGGAGTCGCAGCTAGAGTAGATTTGGATATCATCTGCATACATGAGGAAGTTGACCCTGTGTTTGCAGATGACATCGCTGAGGGAGCATGTAAACAAGGAAAGGGGGGGCAAAGGATGAAGGTTTGGGGTACACCACAAGCAGAGACGGGGAAAAAAACATTGGTGGAGAAGTGTTTTTTCCAGTTAGTTAATTAAGACTAACCAGATGAGTGCAGTCTCATTAAGATGGATGAGAGCTGAAGGACGATGACATGATTGACTATTGAATGCAGCGGAGAGGACAAGGAGGCAGAGGGAATCCTGGTCAGAGAGAGAAAGGATTTTGTTTGTGATTGTTGCACAGTTCTCTGTGCTGCGGGCAGGGTGGAAACCAGAATGGAGGGGCTCGAGGAGGGAGAGGTGTGGGCGAATGTGTTGATTTGCACATTTCTGTACTTTAGTAAAGAAAGGAAAATTAGAATGAGTTATGAGAAGTTAGCACCCTCTGGTGCACAGACCAAATAAATGCAAGAAGTCAAATTCCTAGGCAGGCTGGTTGATAGTTGTTTAATTTTTGGTACATATATAATCAAAGTTAACCAGTTATCTTAGTTTAGGGAAGGATCACCATTAATATTTCTCTGGAGAAATTTGCTACCCATGATTTGAGAAAATTCCTTCAACCTACAATTCCTGGTAGTTTTTACTTCAGTTGCAGTAGATGGTAACAAACTCAAGGAAATAATGCCAGCAAAGTTTATGTCCAGAACCATTTCCACTTTTATGTATGTTGAAATGGGAAAGATAAAGCACATGAATATGCTTAAAACCAAAAGCCAGGTTTTATCTAATATCCCATTGTATATACCTTGATACACAGCTTCTTGAGAAAGTAGGTTTAAGAAGTTGAACTTCTTTACATTTGTAAAAGGACATTAAAATAATTTAATCTAAAACCATTTAATGTATTGTATGGTTACGTACCAAAAAATACCATGGTCTCTTTCCAATTTAAATTAAAATGTTACATACTACTAGTTCAAACTTCATAAAGCACTTCAGGTTTAAAGTTTTTAGTCAGATAAATAGTCAAAAGATATGAAAATGGTCCTTTCCGTTTTCTGCACTTCACCGTCCTGTAGATTCTGAGTTATTTCAGTTATAGAATGAATACACGTCTGAATTATCCATCACCAGTTTACTTGGAGACCAGCGTAGGTGATGGCTTCACTTTGGTTCTAGTGCTTGTTCTGAATTAATTACAGTGAAACTCACATTAATCTTATCTTTATAAATCGTTTTACATGCATTCAAATCCCATTCAGGTACCACTTAAGATTTCTTTGCAGTAATCGTATTAATCATTTAACTATTAACGCTGCTTACCTATCCTCCATTACTCCCATTTACCGGATGCATTGAATCTCAGAAATGGGGTCCTGACCCATCGATGCATGTGCACGTACTGTATTGAATCACGGGAAACGTAGTCTTGATCTTTCCCCACATGTGCAGAAGGAATACATTTTCCGTGATTCAATGCATCCCAATGATTGCCAATAAGTGTGCTTGCATTGAATTGCAGGGAACAGTCTTGACCCTTCACCGCATGCATACTTAAAGCATGCATTGAATTACACATTTGGAGGGTAGATTATTGATTCAATTGGATTTTGTACAATTTATACAAATTTGCCTGCAACTCAGATTTCGCACAAGTCATATTAAATGTTATGGTCCCAAACTGATACGACTTATGTGAGTTTTACTGTATTACGAATTGTGACCTCTGAGAACATACAGTTCTGGAATACATCCTCATTATATACCCAAAGCATTTATAAAATGGATACTTTACTGATGAATAACTCCCTTTATTCCCAATACCCAGTTCAACTAGTCAGAAGTAAATGTGCAGCTGACTCAGTTGATATAAATTTAAATTCAGAAGATGTCTGCAATAACTGTTATAAATAGAAACACTGAATTAAAATGAACCAGTAAGATCACTGTAAAGCCCTTAATTTACATTTAGATATTATGGTAGAAAATACAGGAGGTAAGAGGCCCAATGAAGACAATTTATGAACTCTGAAATTCAATTCTACAAACCCTGTGGTTTATTAAAAATACAGAACATGATTTCAACTGACAGTCTTCCACCTTCAGTCCTCTTCACTTTCAGACTCTGATTCTGTGGAGAGGAGAATACATTTACCATATAGACAAACTTCAGGCCTTCAATATAGAACATATGAGCTAATAATAATGTTAGATGTGCGTCTTGATTTCCTCTTCATTCTGATACTGACGATTTCATTCTACTTACTCAAAGCAAGCAAAATGTAGCCTCGTGTCTAACTGTAGGCATTGGCATACAATTAACACGTTTTATATTGTCAAGAAGTCCACTGCCTGATCCATAAGAAGGTGAGCAATTACAATTGAATTACTTTTACACAGAGGTGATAAATCTGCAAGATGGCAGAGGGGCAGAACGTGTAGCAGTTTTCACATGTCATTTTTAGTTTCCAAACAGCCAGTTAAATTTGTAATGAGAGATTAGATAGTAGGCAACAGTATGCCAAAAAGGACAGGAGGGGTAGAAGATGCTTTTTGGTCTTGTGCACGGCTATATGATAAAAACTACCAATCATATCCAATTTAGAGAAATTGGCAGACAACATACTTGTAGATATTTCACAACCGGCCTGACTGTATTATCTTCACCATATTCAATGTCTCATTTTGGACCAATAGGTCTATGAATATTTTTAAGTGTATCTCAACTGTGTCCTTAGAGAAAGTATACCATCTTTAATAGTACAAATTTAATCAAGACTGTCCAATTTTACCTTCTTCAGCATTCTTGAGCCACTCAACAAATTTCTTCATTTGCTCAAGGAAGATGCTCCTTCCTTTTGCTGTACTGGGTTCTTTGTACCATTTCAAGATGGCTTCTTCACTCAGAACATCAGCTTAAGGAGCAAAGGACATGACAATCATAATACTGTCAAAAGAAAAACATTTTTCTCTAATCCTATTTGTAACGAGTAAAATTCCACCAAATAGTTACATTTCAAGCAATTACATCCTAATGTTTCCGAATCATGCTGAGGTTTACCTCATTCTCAGAACACAAATTTTAACCCCAAAACTTGCATGTATATATAGCCTTTCATGAAAGATAACAAGGAATAGAAAGTCAATCACAAAAATAATCAGCGCTCGGAATGGCCTCTAATTACTTCCAAGCTAAGAGGAGAAAAAAACAGCAATCATATTTAGATGTTCAAAAGATTGCTTTTGATCTGCTCAGATTGCTTAGGTGTTAATCGATTGCTTTCACTCTACTTATTTGTCCAAGAGTTCATCTGATTAAATTATTGCCTTTTAGTTTCTTTCACAGTATCTGCGCTCCACAAACATATACCTTTGTAGAAAAGCACCACAATTTTCTGAAAGGTCTTCATAAATTGAATGTTGTCATAACAGTATTCTTGAATCTTCAGCAGCAAAGTCAGCTCAGACTGACCTTGGGTTGTAAAGGCAGCTAGAAGAGGGCTGTATTGCTGAAAGATCAAAAGAAAGACAATTAATACATGACGATGTATTTTATATGGAATCTGGTTTATCACATATGTAATAGTCAAGACCATCTGTACTGATTTCACATCGCTTACATGTTCACCCTCAAAGCAGAGTTACTGCACTTTATAGTGCTTTGGAATGTCCTACCATCATCAACAACATGTGTTTATATAGCACCCTCCACCCAGGGTAGCGTCTCAGAGCGCTTAACAGTGGCGGAGCCTGATTCCAAGCCTGGGGGAGGTGGCCGTAAGCATGGACGGGAAAGTCATCATTCAGGGCTTGAAAGAGGGGAGAGAAGGGGCAGGGGATTGAGGGGAAAGTGTTCTAGAGTTTTGGGGGTTAGTGGCTGAAAGCACGACTTCCGATGGTGGGGCGGAGGGTGTGAGGGAGCCGGAGGTCGGTGCCAGTCAAACGTACGTGAAAAGTGCTATGCCAAATGTAAGGATTAATTTTATATGGCAAATAAAATTTAAATCTTTCAGGGTATTAGCTTGTTTAAAAGATTCAAACACTAATTTCCCATTAAAGGAATTCCAAACCACTCCCACCTGGTTGAACATAAGTGGTCCAGGATTGACACTTTCATACAAATTACATCCCATGATATGAGTCTTCCCAGGACAGTTTCCCCACACAACCTTTATCCTTGCCTGGTAAATTAGGAGCATCCTATCAGGATTACATATCATCTCTTGCACTCTTGGATGTATTCTAAATTATCTCTTCTTGTTCAATTTGATGCAACAGATTTCAAAAATGGGCCACTAGCACATTTATTTCCCTTTGTGCGACATATCGTGATCCAGAGTGCTTCCATTCCAACTGCATCCATTTCAAGCGCTCTGGGCACTACCCCGCGTGAAGGGCGCTATTTAAATGCAAGTTGTTGTATCAGTTCCCACATCATCTCACGGGCCACTTTTCACGTTTTTCACGTTTTTCAAAACAACAGGCCTGGACTCATAAATAAATTCTATATGCTACAGGGAAATTATAGTTTAGGTATTACATTACATCTTTTGTCTCTTGATTCACCCAGTTTTTCATGTCTAGTTTTCATAAGTCAAAGTGAGACTTGAATCTTCTGCCCTGAAAGGCTTATATAATTTTTTTTTTGAATGAGGCGATATTCTATACATAAGTAATCCGGACCACCGCATTACTAAGTTTGAAACTTGAATAGGAATCCTCTAGTGCGGCCTCCTAGCTCTACTATACCTTGTTTGGAAGATCAAACACAAAAATACCAGAACTATAAAAATGTATTGAAATAATTGAACTTTTCCAGGAATAATTTAAGCTCAGTGATAATATCCAGACAGGCCATAATAAGAATAATAGCCCCCAACACCCAAGTGTCCATGTCCACAATCTTTCCCCAGTTAAAAAATGCAGCCGCTAAAACTGAGAGCTTATAAATTCATAGAGGAAAAGGACTGGTCAAAAAGGAAATAACCTAGCAGGAGAATTTACCTTCTCCACATTAATAATAACAACAGTATTAATCCTCACATTTGTTATAGCGCCTTATCACTTTGTTGAGATGATTCAAAGAGCTTCACAGTGAACCGTTACTCCAGTAACATTCAGGCGTGCAGACGTGTGCATTTGACCACCACAGTTGGGAACCAACAACAAGATTTCACTTATAGAGCGCCTTTTACGTCGAGAGGACGTCCCAAGGCGCTGGACAATTGGGTCGGGACCCGAGCAGAGGGGAAATGGTCAGGTTGAGGGGTGGGAAGGGAGGGAGCGAGGAGGGGGTAGAGAGTCGAGAGGGGAGCTGAAGGCACAGTCAAAGAGAAAGGTCTTGAGACCGGCCTTGAAGGAGGAAAGGGAGGAGGCGGCGAAGGCACTGGGAATGGAGTTCCAGAGCCTAGGGGCTGAGGCTGAAGGCCCGGCCGCCGATGGTAGGGCGGTTGGGGCGGGGGATGTGGAGAAGACAGGAGCCAGAGGAACGGAGGGTACGGGCAGGTAAGTAGGGGGATAGTAGGTCGGAGAGGTAGGAGGGAGCGAGGCCGTGAATGGCCTTGTAGGTGAGGATGAGGGTCTTGAATTCGATCCTCTGGGGGATGGGGAGCCAGTGGAGGCGAGCGAGGGTGGGAGTGATGTGGTCCCGAAGCCTGGTGCGGGACAGTACACGAGCTGCAGAGTTCTGAATGACCTGCAGCTTGTGGAGGGAGGTGCCGGGAAGGCCGGCGAGGAGAGAGTTCCCATAGTCCAGCCTTGAGGTGATAAAGGCGTGGACCAGAGTTTCAGCAGCGTGAGGGGTGAGGTAGTGCCGTAGTCTTGCGATATTCCGGAGGTGATGGAAGGCGGTGCCAGTTGTGGCGCGGATATGAGGGAGAAAGGACAGCTCAGGGTCGAACCGAACACCGAGGTTCCTGATGGCTTTGAGAGGTGGAGAGTGCAGCCTTGGATGCTGATGGTGTCAGTGCCAGAGGTGCGGAGGCGCTGACGTGAGCCAATCAGGAGGGCCTCAGTTTTGCACAAGTTGAGCTGAAGAAAGTTGTCTCTCGTCCAGGACTCGATGTCGGACAGGCAGCTGTCAGGACATTGGTGGTTGTGGAGTTGAGGGTAGATGAGGAAAGGTAGAGTTGGGTGTCATCCGCATACATGTGGAAGTTAACCCCATGTCTGTGGATGATGTCACCAAGGGGGAGCATATAGAGGGTGAAGAGGAGGGGACCGAGGACAGAGCCCTGAGGGACACCGCACGAGACAGTGCGGGGGCTGGGGAAAAGCCGTTTGTGGAAACAAAATGAAGACGGTGGGAGAGGTACGACCTAAACCACTCAAGGACAGGGCCTTGAAGGTTGAGGTGGGAGGACAAGCGGTGGAGGAGGATAGTGTGGTCTACCGTATCGAACAAGATACAACTAGTAATTTACAGTATCTGAGCAACAGCACTCATGCTCAGAGCTTAACACCAGTACTTAAGAAAGTCAAAGTAATATCTTTTGAGCCAATTCTTTAAGCCTTTGGCTAATTTGAAACAAGTACCCTTCCTGAATAATTTGATGCAATTGCACAATCAGTGTGACTTGTAATTCTCCAAAGGCTACATTACAAATCTGACTTTTGCAAGATGGATTTTGCATGATGGAAGATGTATTACAAATAAAGTTACCTTTAAGTGCTTAATGGCTTGTTCCGTTATTAGTTCTTCCTTCTTATTCCATTCCACCGCAGCCATCACACTGACCCAGACAATACTTATTGTGGTCTGCTCAGAGATGCCGCTTTTCTTCATCTCTTCTTTGGCATATGTGATAATCTGTTAATTAATTAAGATATTTTAAGCACTTTGTTCGTTTTACGTCAATTCTAATCCCTCCCCTCAAATTGTCCTATTTTTATTTCCTCTTTTAGATGAGTTCATATCTGAAATGGCCTGTGTACATCCCTGCTAAATAAGCAGTGTGAGCTGTTACTCCTGTAACATTCAGGGAATTGGCTCCCCACAATGCATCTAAATACAAGAGAACAAAACCCACCGAAACAATGAGTAATTTCTGCGAACTTGTGGGTTGCACACCATTTAGCATCCACTTTAAGCAAACCTCCACAAAAAACAGTAAAATATATTTGACAGACTCAGATTTTCCATTTTAAGATGAAAATCTATAGCATTGCAAGGATTCAAATTATACAACATTTTCCTGAAATAAATAGTATTCATGAAGGAATAGTTTTCCAAGAGTAATAATACAATAGTGTTAGGGTTATCAAGGTTAGGGTTAACAAGGTAAACAAGCTCTATCTTGCTACAACCTAAGAACAGTAGCAATTTCATGAGAAAAATTATAATATAATAATCCTTGCATTTGATACAGTGTCTTACCACATCTTCAAGGCGTCTCAAAGCGCTTCACAGAATACACTGTAAAGTGCAGTGACTTGTGTATTTTATGGGTGAAACGAGGCAGACAATTGCACACATCAGTTGTGGAGTGAGTGACCAAATTATTATTATTTTTAAGGGATTAGTACCCCCTGGAAAGCAATCCGCCAATCGACTAACATCGGGTTCCTACTTACTGCTAGGTAAACAGAGGAAAAATACCTGAAGCAGCACACTGATGTTGTTGTTTTACGTGGCTGTCAGCAATAGAGCAGGGCTTTCTGTGATCAATATATAAACTGATGCTAGCGGAAATTTAAAAACAAAATGTAAAGCTGCAGCTTGTAATGACAGCAAGAGAAAGAAACCTTTTTTACCAAAGGACACAGTTAATATAATTATCTTGTTCCTATAATTTCTGCATGGTCAAACTCAATCTATTCATGGTATGTATACTGAGTAGAAACATAAATATAGTATCAGTTATAGGTGGGAAAGACAAATTTATTCTCAATAAACAGAAGTGTGTGTGAACATCTGTTTGAGGGCTCACTGTCTGCAGAACAACTTTAATTCATAATTGCGCAAGTTGAGTCCAGGCCAGTGGTTACCAGGATTCCGCTGGAAAACTGGTATGCTATTAAAAGGCACAGACTTTAGGCAGGGTCATCGGTTCAACTGGAAAAAGCACAATCTACCTGAAAGAACTACCTCAAGCAGAAAAAATACAGAATTAAGATTCATAAAGCATATGATGAATGTGACCCAATTGGCATATTAAGCCAAGTATGCGTAATACATAGGTATCAAATTCACAAGTTAGTACTGCAGACAAATTATAGCAGTTTACCACTCTGTCTTTTTTGCTCCCATAGGCTGCTCAATTGAAATAATTGTACAGATAAACTTCAACTGAAAGCTCAACTGACACTATTAAAATTGATTTTAAAAGTTGCCTTTGTGTTTCAGGATCATACCTATGGTTAGATAACTTCGAAACATTCAATCTCTTCATTAGTGTTAGCCAATACAATGGGAAATTGCACACTCATTTTGGAGCTAACAGTTTCTTGACAAGTGCCAAATGGGTTGCTTGGATGGAATGGTAAAAATGCATCTTTACATTTTGTCCTTGATAAAATGGTTTGAACTATTCAATGTAAGCTAGAGAAATTTCCATGTATAAGGTGGCTTACAACTCTCAGTCTGAATCCTCTTAAACATGGTAATAGGTTTCCACATAAATTACCTAGCTGACCAAAAAAAAGGTCTGATGAAAACATTCAAATCGCTCAGCAAGCTCAGTATGAGTAGAGAAACCAAATTAAAGAGGAGTCTTACTTAAGAGAGGTATCTGAATCGATAGTGGAAATCTAAAGCTTCCAGGGCTTCAAACAACTTGCCTCACAGTGAGGGCCTTGCATTTCAAAACAAAAAAAGAGTAACACCAACGAATGTTTTCAAGCCTAGACAAATGTGAGTATCTATTAAGTTGGACTCTATACCATATAAAGGAGACAAGGGAAGCATCTAGATTTAAAACTTGATGCTATCCGTTCCTGTCGTAGAACATGCCATTTCCATCAAGGTGTTATAGCAAGTGGCCGATTCCAGAAATGAAAACATAATTCAGTAAATTCAAGTTTAAAACTCAACTAAATTAAAATCCTGTACCATTTACAATATATTTTATAAGCTTTACAAAATTAACTGATTTGGAATTAATTGAGATAAAAGAAGTTGTGTAATGCTTTTAAAATATTTTGTACAAAATTATTTTCCAAATTGCTCTGATATAATCTTGATAAAAGGTTTACTAATTCCAAGTTAAAAATTGCATTTGGTCTAAGTGAAAAATTGCACTAACTCATCCAGTTACCTCTTTGATAGGATCACCACGAGCCATTTGATCTTGGAGCTCCTTCTGTATCTCCTTCCGTGCTCCAAGAGATTGTTGGCCACGGACAAAGTCTGAAAGTTCCTTTAAGTCTGCATCAGTGAAGTACTTAACAAAATGATCATAGTTCTGCTTGTTAGGCGGGAACAATTCCTGTAGAACAAAAACATTTAGAGGGCAATATTTCAGAATTACATTATTGTTTCTCTTTATCAAGTGACAAAACTGTACATTTTAAACGTCTCAATAGGTCAAATTGAGTTCTCCAAAAGAAAACATCCAAATCCAGATTAGGAAGGTGCTATATTGGACGGAATACACTTAACACTGTGTTTACTCCTTACCTCTCCCACAAACTATAAATTTTAAAAACCCAAATACAGAATCATACAACTTTTAATCTGTAGCTGTAGCTTGCTTAAAAATAGTCACTACACTTTACAATAAATCCTGTAAAGCACTTTGATATCTTCCCATCATAGGAGTCATATCAAATGCAAGGATTATTATTATTTATAATTTCACACTGTTTATGTACTCAAAGCCTTTAACCACTGCAGAAAGTTGAGTAGTATCAATCCAGATTGAACAAAATGGGCAATTCAAACAAAATATTACATTTTCTACTTATTTTTTTCCAAAGGTTACTACTGTATCTACTTTTTAATCTCTCCTAGAAACTATAACATTTTAAAGCGCAAACACCCACAAGCGAGAGACCTGGGTTCGATTCCCGGCATGGCGAAATGTTGGGCAAGTTTCCTTACTCCACACGCCTGTGTTTACCTAGCAGGAAGTAGGAACCCGGTTGTTAGTCGATTGGCGGATCGCTTTTCCGGGGGTAATAATTCCTTCAAAAAAAAATAATAAATTGGTCACTTCAATCCATGACTGTTTGTGGAACACTTCTGTGTGCAATTGGCTGCCACATTTTGCCCACGAAATATATAGTCAATTCCACTTTACAGTATATTCTGTGAAGCTCTTTGCAACGCCTCAAAGACATGATAAGGCGCTATATCAAATACAAGGATTATTATATTTATTATTAACTATTTTTTTCTCCTCTCTCTACACTCCCCTCTCCAGGCCCCCATCAACCACCACTTTAACAATATGTTGCAGTATGACTTTGCCCCTTCAAACAGCTTTTCCAGAGACATTTTGTTTTACATGCAACTCTTAAAAAGATCAATCACAGATTGGATCTGCCCATCTTTACTGATGTGGCTGAACATTAAGCTATGGATTTTGTCCAAAACTTATCAACATAAGAACAATCATTGTAATACTTTCAGATATATACTATTTTGAGTCTTGAGCATTGTAGTTTTAAATGGTTGATTTTGGTACTCACCAGTAATCTGCTGTTCATGCCAACTTTTCGAAGGCTTCCTCCAACAGCATTAATGTCTTTCTGTGATATCCAAGATTTGAACAATTTCACAGCAAATGCTGCCGAAACACCTGGAACAAGCGATAGAACAAGGTTTGGCAATTAATTCATTCTTTTGTTTGTGCCAGTTATGCAACCAAAGTCAGTTTTTTTTTTGGAGGTACTTGCAGTTATAAAAATGGTTAAATCCTTATATTGATCAGAAGAAAATGTCAAGGCAACAGATTTAGGAACCCAAGTCACAAGATTAATATTAACTGACTATAGTTCAACCTCTGCATGCAAAAAGCTATATATATATATATATGCCATCCATTTTAGGACATTGGTCACGTACAAAATCCCACTTTGCCCAGTTTTGAATAGAATATAAACTCAAATTTAACAGCGTCAGTTCACAAAGATATTCTATGGCCATGTTAAAAGCAAATCCGAGGTTGAAGTACATTCAACTAAGAAATATTGTGCCTATTGCAGGTAACCTAAAGCATTCATCTTCAGTTGATCTCAATACAAACAACAGTACAGAAAATTGACACTCAAGACGACAAGATCTACATTTTAGAAAAGCTTGGAGCAATGCAGTGCAGATTTAGAACAAATGCTTATCAAAAGCACAGCTGCCTTACACATACCAGGGAAACCCTCCACATATTGAAGTACACCACCACATCACAAGTAAAATGGGCAACAACTTTTTATGCCCAATCACGCTACAACACAAGGAGATACATTCCAGTCAGAAAAAACACTGAAAGTGGGAAATGTTTCAGATTTGATCTGAGGAAAGGTAAATTTCTGAACAAACCAACACATCCTTTTAGTGAAATAAAACATTATTTGGTAAGAATCTACGCACACAAATCAGGCAACTGAATGCAAGAATAAATAAATAAATATTGGAAGGTAAAGAACATCAATTTAAATGGGATTAAAGTACAGTAAAACTCACAAAAGTTGTGTCAGTCGGGACCATAACATTTAAGATGGCTTGGCCAAAGTATGAGTTCCAGGCAAACTCGCATAAATCGGATTTTATATGATTAACCCATGCGGGGACAGGTTAAGACTTCATTTCAATGTAATATTTGAAACAAGCGTGGCCAACAACATTCGGTAAGCAGCACTGAGTTAGGAGATGATTTGCTATTCATCCAATTTATAAAATACGACTCATGCAAAGAAATCTAAATGTTTTTTGGTAGGAAATTAATAGCCAATGGTGCATGTATGACATATGATTATACGATTTAAATAGATAAGACTTGTGTGAGATTTATTGTTAAACATTTCATTGGAGGAACTGTGCAGGTATGATGGTGCATATGGCCACTTTTGTATTGACGTTCTAAAGTTCCACTGAGAACTCCCGTATCAAACATTCATTGTTCAAGTTTTACTCTTCTTCTTTGAAGCCATTACAAGTATTATAAGAACAATGGTGAAAAAAGGATCAGCAACAAAGTACCCTAGATCTGGTTGTCAAGAAGATTGACTTGCGCTTCTGTTACATCGTATTTCTTAAAAGGATAAAGGACCCAATGGGAGGAAAAAAGGAAAGAATGTTCTGTTCAAAGTAATTGCCCTAGCTATAGAAGAAACATCTATTTAAAAAAAGTATTTTCCCTTTAGCAACGAACACTCCCCTCAATCCATCTCCTCAGGAGATGCAGCGACATTTAACAAATTGGTGCATCTCAGAAAGGTTGAGTTTAGTTTTAAACAGACACACTTGAGACCAATAATACCAAGCCAGAGCAATAATTTACAATGATCGGTTGATGGTCATATGGCTTCTAAATCACCCTTCCTGAGCCCAAAGTAACCACTTCTATATGTGGCCAACTCCTCCCTGCAACAAGTCAAGGGACCAGTCTAGCAACCAAGGCTCAGTATTCCTGGGCTATAAATGAGGTTTCTCAGCACTACCCAAAAATATTGGTAGGGAAGTGGTTTGAAAGAAAGTTGGATCTAAATTTTGATTAATTAGTAGTATACCCAGCTGTACATCCTCAATATCTTTAACCAGATATTGAGGATATACAATTATTTATTCTGCAAACAGTGGAAACCTTTGAATGACAAATTGTAGAGTTTACCTTCTTTGACCAGGTTTTCATTGAAGAGGCTGCTCAGAATGGAAGCAGACAGTGTTCCATTGCTCAACAATATTCCAGTCAGCATGGCCAGCTTGGTTCGCTCAGATTCTGTAAAACCTTTCAGGAATAGCAGCAGCTGAAACAAATCAAATTTGGAACATCGTAAATGCAGCTGTAATGACGGTGTAATAGTCTGCATTTTCAGATTATTTTCTTACTCCTCTCTCTCCCACCAGTCATCTGTACAAGCATCAAATCCCACCTTTCACTTCTCTCCCTCTTTCCCCTGGCCATCTATACATGCCCTTTTCCTTCACCCCCGCCACCCCTCTGTTTAGTCTATACAGGTAAATAGTTCCCCAGTTTTCTCCTCTTCCAGTTATTCTGCAGGAGACAACTCATAAATAACAAATCAAATTTGACACACACAAAAAATATGATGACACAATTTGTAAATTTTAGTTTTTGCAACAGTCACTTCAATAAATTCAAACCTTTTTGATTTCCTCTTCAAATCCTCTCTCCAGGTATTTATAACGCCTGATCAACTTATTAAAAACCTGTAAAATAAAATTAGAATCACAATAACAAGCATCATGTGTGGAGGCCATATAACTAAAACTACTAATTGATTTACAGATTACTACCTTGCACATTTCCTAAAGCAAAGAGAACAACAACAAATTACATAATTTACAGCACCTTTCATGTCGTGAGGACGTCTCAAGGTGCTGGACAGTCAACGATTTGGATTCGAACAGGGGTTGGAATCAGGAGGGGTGAAGGGTAGGGAGGGCATGGGTAGGAGGGTGGCTGAAGGCACGGTCGAAGAGTAGGATCTTGAGACATGCCTAGAAAGAGGCAAGGGAGGGAGCAAGGTGAGACTGTGGGATGGAGTTACAAAGGGTGGGGGCAGAGAGGCTGAAGGCCCAACCGTCGATGGTGGGGCGGGCCAGGAGGGGAACGTGGAGCGGGCCAGAGCCTGCTGAGTGGAGAGATTGAGTTGTTGCTTGCAGGTCACAGAGGTAGGAAGGAGGAAGGCTATGGAGGGCCTTGAAGGCGAGGACTAGGATTTTGAAATTTATCCCCTGAGGGATGGGGAGCCAGTGGAGCCGGGCGAGGGTGGGGAAGACCATAAAAGACAAGAAACCTTACCAGAGCATAAGCACGTATGGTCTCTAGGTTTTCTTGTGCAGCAAATACACAGACATCGGTGCGTGTCACGTTATCAGCAAGGGTACCACCTGGAGCTACAAAGTGGAAAGAAATGAGCAAAAGTAGAAACATACATCTTTTGTAGTACAACCTACTCAACTAAAGACAAAAACCAAACAACAAAAGCATAAATGGATTATAATCCATTTAATGGATCAATTGATCCATTAAATGGATTATAATGGACTATATTTTTGTCAACTTTCAGTTAAGGCTTTCCCAGGACTTGATGTCTGATAAGCAGTCTGTCAGGACAGCAGTGGTCCTAGACTCGCACTTGGTTATTGCTTACCTGTTGACCCAACCTCATGGGCAGCTGAAATATTTTGCTGGGAAGCCAGCTCCACTCCAATTCCACATAAGAAATTGAAATGGATACTCAGCATACAGCATTTTATTGTATTTCAAAAACTGTGGAGCTTTTTCATCTGCCTTATATTTTCCTCCAAATTTAATTTACACCCAGATTCAAATGCATTGTCTACACCTAACTGTTTATAGGATGTGAAACAACAACACCAACTTGGATTTATATAGCGCCCTCCATACCGGATGGCGACTCAGAAATGGCTTTACTTCTAATTAATCTCATTTATAAACTACTTGAGACATTATATGTATAAAACACTATATTAATGAAAGGTTTGTGGATGGGAGTGAGGGAAACTTCTCAGTATAAACCGCTTAAACCAGACACATCCGGGGCAGACATTTTGTCCGCCTTAAACAGCATCCGAGGTTAACCAAAGTCCCTCACCTCTTCCCACCCAGCAGAGGAGCGGAGTCAGCACCTCCTCCCTCCCATTCCCATTGGGCGCAAAAGGGACCAATTAGCAGTGGCTCCAAGGCGATTGACAGCTGGAGTCGCTTGTGAATGGATTGGCATCAATCATGATTTGACTCTCCCCATTCACACCCTTGTTGCTTCCCCATTCCTCTTCCCCCTCACTGATTTGACAGCCCATACCCGCTTGTGAATGGCTGGAGTCCACTGTCAATCAATCATGATTTGACTCCTCCCATCCCCAAGCTGCTCGAGACACAGAGTAAGCAGACGAAAGTGGTGACAATCAGTGCGGCATTTGCCCAAAATAACCAGATTTTGCTCAACTTAACCATCGTAATTAAAATAAGTGTGCATACTTAAGCGGCTTCCACTGTATATAGAAATAAATATATGGTAGTTTTGATCTACAAGGCCATATTACTCATTGTTTTGAACCTAAAGCAACCTCAATTATAAGATAACCACCACCATTTTCAAATATATAATGGGGGAAGAAAGTAAAGAGTATTATATGGTAATTATAGAAGTTAAAAAAAGAATAGGTACATTAAAATGACCCTAATAAACATTTTCCATACAAATAATTCTTCACGGCTGTCATGTCATTGTATTGCATTCTATTATCTCTTTCTCCCCCACTCCCCTCCCCCTCTCTCTACCTGTTCAACATCTACTTCTGTCCTTCCTCCCGCCCCCAAAAAAGTTATGTGCGTGCACACAATATGCGACTGACTGGCACATGCAGAGTCACTATAACTTTGTACATGTGTGCAAGAATGCTAAAAAATTCCACAAAACAACTTGCATTAAATAGCACCTTTATTTAGGATAATATCTCAAGGATGTTAGGGACTCAATTCCCTTACCTAATAATTCCACTTGTGCTAATGCCATTATTTGCCTGGCATCATTAACTGGACATTATTTTGGTTCGTTCATGAACACAAAGAAAATAGCTTTTTTTTAAAAAAACAAAATTAGGGAAAAAACCTCACCTTTACATTTGGAACAATACAATTACCATTTTAAGAAATCTCAGTGGGGGGGTAGGGGGTGGAGGAGAAAGTAGGAGAATTTGTGAAGATCAGCACAATAGACTCCACCCCCCATTTGTCATCCAACTCCTATTCATCTCCAATGCAAGAGTCTTGACTACAAGTCAAGAGACTTGACTACAGTAATCATGACTTAAGATAGAAAGTTACTGGAGAGTCCAGCAGACAATATTAGGTTGTGCATACACATGCACATACAGGATGGAATTAGATTTATAAAAGAGATTGCCAAAATATCACATAATAATGAATCACCACATCAATCAATCTTCACAGCAATGCAGTGAGAATTTTTTTTATTAAAGAACAGGATTTCTTCTATTCTCAATTTGTTGATGGCCATAATTCTAGTCATACTGATTTTCAAGAGAGGATTTATGTTCCAGTACAATTGCCATAGTTTCATCAACATAGCTACTGTGGTACCTCTGCCAAATTCATTCATTCATCCTTAATTATGATGGATGACACAGGTTTCATTGGAATGAATTTTGTAATCAGAATATTAAAATCCTTAAAGACAAAAGTTATATTTGTTTTGGTAAAACGATGGACAAAGACATGGGCTGCAGAGTTCTGTATGATCTGTAACCAATGGAGGGAGTAGCTGGGGAGGCCGACAAGCAGGGAGTTTGTGTAGTTGAGCCTGGATGTTATGAATGCGTATATGAGGCGGGCGATGCTGCAGAGGTGGGGAATGGCAGAGCGGTTCATGGCATAGATGTGGGGTAGAAAAGGCAGTTGAGGGTCAAACAAGACACAAAGGTTCTGGACTGGCTCGGTGAGGTGGAGTGTGCATCCTTGGATGGTGATGTTGTGAGATGTGGAGGCCTGAGATGTGGAGGCACTGACGGGAGCCAACCAGGAGAGCCTCGGTCTTGTTGACATTCAACTGAAGAAAGTTAGCTCTCATCCAGGACTTGATGTTCGACAGACATTCTGTCAGGACAGCAGTGGTACTGGAGTCAAGGGTGGAGGCAAAGAGGTAGAGTTGGGTTTCATCCGCATACATGTGGAAGTTGACCCCATGTCAGTGGATGATGTCATCAAGAGGGAGCATGTAGATATTGAAGACGTGGGGACCAAGGACAGAGAGAGCCTTGAGGTACGCCGCACGAGACAGTGTGGTAGCTAGAGGAGAAACCGTTTGTGAGTGAGGGGTCAATTTTATTTGGGCGATTGTTAGCCAGGACACTTCTTTTCGAATAGTGCCTGGGATCTTTAGGGTCCACCTAAACAGGCAATCAGTGCCTCAGTTTAAGAACAACAACTTGGATTTATATAGCGCCCTCCACGCCGGACGGCGTCTCAGAGCGCTTCACAATAACGGATCCCAAGGCTGAGCCAGGGGGAGAGGGAAGAAGGTGGCCAAAGGCGCGGTCGAAAAGAAAGGTCTTTAGTCGAGATCTGAAAATAGGAAGAGGGGGCAAGGCAAAGGGAGTGAGGAAGGGAGGTAGTGACTGAAGGCACAGCTGCCGATGGTGGAGAGGAGGATTCGGGGGACAAGGAGGAGGCCAGACCCATTGGAGTGAAGGCAACGGGCACTGTTGTGAGGAGAGAGGAGGTCAGAGAGATAGGGGCTGCAGAGGTGTGGAGGGATTTGAAGAGAAGAGTGAGGATCTTGAAATCAATCCTCTCTGGGACAGGCAGCCAGTGCAGTCTGGCAAGGACTAGGGTTATCGGGGAGCAGAGTTTGGTGTGGTTAAGAATAATAATAATAATCCTTGCATTTGATATAGCGCTTTTCACATCTTCTACACATTTCAAAGCGCTTCACAGAATATACCATAAAGTGTAGTGACTGTATATTTGTGGGCAAAACGCGGCAGCCAATTGCACATGGCAGGAAAAATGCGGGCAACAGAGTTCTGGATGACCTGGATTTTATGAATGGTAGTGGAGGGGAGGCCGGCGAGGAGGGCATTTGAATAGTCCAGCTGAGAGGTGACAAACGCATGGACCAAGGTTTCGGCTTTTGGGGTGAGATATTGGCGGAGACGGGTGATGCGTAGGAGGTGGAAGAAAGCGGTGCTGGTGAGGGACTGGATGTGGGGAAGAAAGGATAATTGGAGGTCGAACCTGATGCCTAGGTTGCATACGGGTTCGGAGAGTTTTAGGGGGAGGTCGGGTAGGTGGAGGAGGTGAGAACCGTGCAATTTAAGACGTTGACGAGAGCCAAAGAGTACGGCTTCTGTCTTGTCAACATTTAGCTGAAGGAAATTTGCGCTCATCCAGCGCCTGATGTCAGGCAGGCTGTCAGAACATCAGGGGGTCACAAAGTGAGGTGGAAAAATAAGTTTAACATCTAATCCAAAGGACAGCACCTCCACTAATGTAACATCCCCTAACACTGCATCGGAGTGTCAGCATAGGCTATATGGGTTCCAAGTCCACAACCTTTCTGACTCAGGGGAGTGAATGCCATCACCTGAGCCAGGTTAACACATGGGATCAGTTCCATACTTTGCTTCACCAACTGGGGGACAAGCAAACCAAGTTAATGAACACCCCTGTTGGGCTAAGAAGATGCTTGAGTATTTCTTAACTGGACCAAACATAGTGGTTCGAGCACTCGCCTCGCAAGCAAGAGACCTGGGTTCAATTCCCGGCAGGGTGAAACATTGGGCACGTTTCCATACTCCATACACCTCTGTTTCCCTAGCAGTAAGTAGGAACCTGGTTGTCAGTCGATTGGCAGATTGCTTTTCCGGGGGTAATAATTCCTTCCAAAAAAAATAATAAATTGGTCACTTCAATCCACGACTTTTGGCGGGACACTGGTGTGCACAATTGGCTGCCGCGTTTCGCCCACAAAATACAGTTAATTTACTACAGGATATTCTGTGAAGCGCTTTGAGATGTCTAGAAGACATGATTCGATGTTACATCAAATGCAAGGATTATTATTACTAAGTAACCAAAATATATAACAACTTGAATTTGTATAGCGCCCTCGACGCTGGACGGCGTCTCAGAGCGCTTCACAGTAACAGATCCTGGGACCGAGCCAGGGGGAGGGGGAGGAAGGTGACCAAAGGCACGGTCAAAAAGAAAGGTCTTCAGCAGAGACCTGAAAATAGGAAGGGAGGGAGCGAGGCAAAGGGAGTGAGGAAGGGAGTTCCAGAGCCTCAGGGCATAGTGGCTGAAGGCACGGCCAGTGAAGGTGGAGCGGAGGACTCGGGGGACGACGAGGAGGCCAGACCCGGAGAAACGAAGGCATAATAAGCCATCTATAATAAGCCATCAATAAGGCATATAAATAGCCATCACATTTTATTAAGCCATTACATTTTGGTTCTGGAGGCCTGCTAACCATTGACCAACGTCTCAAACTTAATAATGTTACAATTGCCAGGATACAACTCAAACGACAGGATAAAAACCAAGGGAGAATTAAATCATTCTATGATTTCATTGAATAACTTCACATAAAAAATTATCACTAAGAACACAAAAGCTAGTCAATGGGCTTCGTTTTTGTGAGTTGAAAATGAAATCCATATAACAACGTACTTCAAGCCATGACCCGCTCTGCCTTCCCTTACCTCCGTAACATCGCCCGATTCCGCCACTGAAACACTTGTTCATGCCTTCATCACCTCCAGGCTCGACTATGCAAACGCCCTGTTTGTCGGCCTTCACAACTCCTCCCTCCACAGGCTGCAGATAATCCAGAACTCTGCGGCCCATGTCCTCTCTCACACCAAACTCCGTGACCCCATCTCCCCCATCCTCGCCTGACTTCACTGGCTCCCTATCCTTCAGAGGATGCAGTTCAAGATCCTGGTCCTCACATACAAAGCCCTCCAAGGCCTCGCCCCACTCTACCTCTGAGACCTCCTAATCCTCCTACCAACCCGCCCGTTCCCTCCGCTCAGCTGGCTCCGGCCTGCTCCTCGTCCCCCGACCCACCCGCCCCACCATTGGCGGAAGAGCCTTCAACCACTTTGCCCCCAAACTCTGGAATTCCATCCCCCAGTCACTCCGCCTCGCCCCCTCCTTAGCCTCCTTCAAGTCCCGCCTCGACCATGCCATCGGCCAGCCCTCCCCTACCCTCCCCCCTCCCGACCCCAGCTTGGTTCTGAAATGCTGTACTCTGTTCAGCGCTTTGGGATGTCCTTCTAACGTTAAAGGCGCTATACAAATGTAATGTTGTTGTTGTACTTCAATGATGTAAAAGTAAACTAAACACACTGAATTCCAAAATTCAATTCCAGGCAAGAGACTCAATATAGGGGAGCTCCAGTAAGCAGTTGAAAGAAATTAAAATTAAAAGGATTAGGTTACTGTCCAGATAATTTTACCTGAAGAGGTAAACATTTTAAAGGAAGGAATGTACTTCATATGTCCAGAATTCCTTCTACAGCTATACCAAATATTGCCCTCTTTCAAAACAAGGACAATTGGCCTCTAAAAACTGCAAAACAAGATGTCAAAGAACCGTAAGAGTTCACATATGAGTCCTCACCCAGCATACCACCAGCAACCAGGATATCAAATAGTGTCTCAGCATAGCGACGATAATCAAGCTTTGCTCCAGAAGCGTCAAGAAATCTTGCTACAGCTTCCAAATCACTGCCAGTTTCATTCAGACCCTGGATGATGGAATCTTGAAACTGAGTAGGCTCGAACTTCTCTTTTTCATCTGCAGAGACATTGTGAACAACAAAGTGTATTGGTACAAGTACTTCCATATTGTAAATTACATGCAACCCTGAATCCTATTGCATCGACAGCAATATATCCCACATATAAAACTTGAGTCAAAGTAGTTTACAGTTATCAATTAATGGCAATGTCAATCACAGTGCAAGCTTATTGTCTTGTTACAATACAGCAGCCAACAAACTATTATTGTGTAGAGCTCCACCTTGCTAAGGTGTTGATGTGAACCATTGTAGCGATGTGGTGGAGAGAGTGGAAGAGAAAGACATGGAATAGAGTGTGGGAAAAGGCAAACAAATTAAAAGACTCCAGGAAGCTTACAAGCTCCCACACAGCCCCCTCTCCCGCACAGCTATCCGCTGATGATATAAGTGGCTAGGGAGATGGATACAAAAATGGGCAAAGGGAAGTTGCTCAAGTAGAATCCAAGGCAATCTATTTTCTGATAGTAAAAGTAGCTTATACACCCGCAATCATAACTATTTGTGAGAAAGCAGTTAATACAGTAGAACCTCACTAATCTGGTCACCCAAGGGACTGGGCAAAAGTGACCTACTTCGTGAGGTGACCTGATTACTGAACAGGTCGGATGATTCAGGTCACTGATGTAATGTTAAGGGCATTGGTAATGGGCAAGGGTGATGAACATTCAACAACCATACTTTGCAATCTTATTAAAATAAAGACATTGTCACATTTGAAACAAAAGCCGTCATGTATTCAGCCTTCCTTTTGAGAATGCATCCAACTTGTGTTCTGTCAATGCCATAGATCACAGCTAACAGTCTATGACTTTTGCTCTCACTGTTTTTGATTAAGTCCAATCTCTCACATAAGGACAACTCCTTCCGTGGTGGCATGTTTACAGCACTAACCAAAAATTGCCCACAGGAGCCCAGGTTAGGCAATTGTGAGATGGCTGGATTACCAAGATGACTGCAAACCGGGTTTCTACTGTATATCCATAGATTTACAGTATGCAACAAGAAAATCTACATTCAACAGGAAGGTAGAAATGATTCAAAACAAAATTTGTGACAATTTAATGCTTCAGTAACAATGCTTCCAATAACATTACCTCTTTTCCTTGGTCTATAATGAACGCCAGTTAGTAATGGCTTTGGCTGCTTTGGATTATTCATAAGACACTCTGAAATGTAGAAAAAACGGTTATAACTTCACACAAAAATAATCTAGGGTTAATTACAGAATTCAGGACCACTATTTCTAAGACTAATAACATAATTTGAAGTTAGAACAGAATATGTATGCTATTCCATAGCAGCAGCAATTTAGAACATCTGCCAGCATAGTGATATTTAAAATAGCCAATTTGACAAAATGAAAGTAAGCATAACGTAATCATGTTTCCTCAACGCTGCTACTGAAAATTAAAGTCATGAATACTTTATTTCTAACAATAAGTGACTTTTTTTTCAGATATATTATATACATGATGCTCCAAATCAATAATATGTTTGGATGAGAGAATGCTTTTACTAAACAAATGCTCTATTAGTGGTGACTGTCTTTTTAAAAAAAATCTTCTACAAAATGTGCTGACTTAGAACACGTCTATTTTAAATGCTAACATCAGTTCAGATATAATACTGGGAGGAATCTGCAGAGCCTTCACTTCAATCCAAACATCTAGTGACCCAAACTCAATCCAGGAGACTAATTTCTCTTGGTTTGCTTTGCAATTCTATTCAGGAGGCAGAAGATTTGTTTCAATGTTACCTCGCCCCCAGCTTTTTCTCCATCTTAGTTCCATTAATGAGCCAATTACAAAGGAAAACAACAACAAGATTCCATTTATAGAGCGCCTTTCACGTCGGGAGGACGTCCCAAGGCGCTGTACAGTTGGGTCAGGACCCGAGCAAGGGGGAAATGGTCAGGGTGAGGGGAGGGAAGGGAGGGAGCGAGGAGGGGGTAGAGAGTCGAGAGGGGAGCTGAAGGCACAGTCAAAGAGAAAGGTCTTGAGACCGGCCTTGAAGGAGGAAAGGGAGGAGGCGGCGAAGGCACTGGGGGATAGAGTTCCAGAGCCTCGGGGCTGAGAGGCTGAAGGCCCGGCCACCGATGGTAGGGCGGTTGGGGCGGGGGATGTGGAGCAGACCGGAGCCAGAGGAACGGAGGGTACGGGCAGGTAGGTAGGGGGATAGTAGGTCAGAGAGGTAGGAGGGAGCGAGGCCGTGAATGGCCTTGTAGGTGAGGATGAGGATCTTGAATTCGATCCTCTGGGGGATGGGGAGCCAGTGGAGGCGAGCGAGAGTGGGAGTGATGTGGTCGTGAAGCCTGGTGCCGGGAAGGCCGGCGAGGAGAGAGTTCCCATAGTCCAGCCTTGAGGTGATAAAGGCGTGGACCAGGGTTTCAGCAGCGTGAGGGGTGAGGTAGTGCCGTAGTCTGGCGATATTCCGGAGGTGATGGAAGGCGGTGCCAGTTGTGGCGCGAATATGAGGGAGAAAGGACAGCTCAGGGTCGAACAGAACACAGAGGTTCCTGACTGGCTTTGAGAGGTGGAGAGTGCAGCCTTGGATGCTGATGGTGTCAGCGCCTGAGGTGCGGAGGCGCTGACGTGAGCCAATCAGGAGGGCCTCGGTTTTTCGCACGTTGAGCTGAAGAAAGTTGTCTCTCGTCCAGGACTCGATGTCGGACAGGCAGCTGTCAGGACATCGGTGGTCGTGGAGTTGAGGGTAGAGGAGGAAAGGTAGAGTTGGGTGTCATCCGCATACATGTGGAAGTTAACCCCATGTCTGCGGATGATGTCACCACAGGGGGAGCGTATAGAGGGTGAAGAGGAGGGGACCGAGGACAGAGCCCTGAGGGACACCGCACGAGACAGTGCGGGGGGTGGAGGATAGGTGGCATATGCTTATGCGGAACTCTGTTAGGTTTGTATACTCTTGAGTATGGCTATGATTCAACGAGGTGTGTGACACACGGGGAAACCTACACATTTAAAAAATTCCCCACGTGAAAGAGTACTCTCTCCCTGGAGGGATGCACACTGCTGGGGTGGGAGCAGCTGGGTTGGGAGAGGTGGGAACGTGCAGGGAGGCAGGGAACAGGCAAGGGGTGGCAGGGAGAGGCGGGCAAGTTGCCAGGGAGGGGTGGGCAAGGGTGCCAGGGAGAGGCAGGGGAGGATGCCAGGGAGGGGCGGGCGGGCTGCCAGGGAGGGGCGGGCGAGGGTGCCAGGGAGGGGCGGGCGGGGGTGGCAGGGAGGGGGCGGGCGGGGGTGGCAGGGAGGGGCGGGTGGGGTGCCAGGGAGGGGTGGGCGAGGGTGCCAGGGAGGGGCGGGCGGGGGTGCCAGGGAGGGGCGGATGGGGTGCCAGGGAGGGGCGGATGGGGTGCCAAGGAGGGGCGGATGGGGTGCCAAGGAGGGGCGGATGGGGGTGGCAGGGATGGGCGGATGGGGTGGCAGGGAGGGGCGGATGGGGTGCCAGGGGGGGGCGCATGGGGGTGGCAGGGAGGGGCGGATGGGGGTGGCAGGGAGGGGCGGATGGGGTGCCAGGGGGGGCGCATGGGGGTGGCAGGGAGGGGCGGATGGGGGTGGCAGGGAGGGGTGGATGGAGTGCCAGGGAGGGGTGGATGGAGTGCCAGGGAGGGGCGGGCGGGAGTGCCAGGGAGGGGCGGGCGGGAGTGCCAGGGAGGGGCGGGCGGGAGTGCCAGGGAGGGGCGGGCGGGGGTGCCAGGGAACGGGCGGGGGGAGGGACCGATGGGGTGGTAAGGAATGAGGGGGGGGGGGGGGGATGTTTGTGCAGGACGGGCACAGTTCGCCAGCAGCTGATCCCGGTTGGTGGTTGGCTGAGGGGGAGGGCCGGTGGGAGGGGTGGGGTGGGCCGGGCAGTTGGTTGGTTGGAGTGGGGGGGGAGGGCCGGAGGAGGGGTGGTGGAGGGTGAGGGAGACTTACCGATAAGAAGCCCGCGGTGACAGCCAGTGACGCGGACAGCACAGCACAGCGGCGGGCACCGACTGACTGTTATAAGGTGTAACTGGTCGCCGGCAGCGAGAGGCTGTGCGCACGCGCGGCTTTGGGACCGCTCAGACTCTCCCACTGGGGCTCCGGTTGGGGGGGGGGTCTGACAGTGGGAAACCCCGTGACTCAGTGAGCGGCGGCGGGAGGAGAGACTCACTCGGAACTGCAGCTCCACCACCGCCTGAAATCGACGCTCCTCACGTGACTCGGGTCTCCGATCGTCCGTTATCGCGACGATCCTTTTCAAGGTTTGAAAAGCAGAACGTTCTGCGGGGCCCGAGCGGGTGACTGTGTTGACCTCCACGTATGTCCTGCCCGCCGCACCCTGGCCGCCTGACTGACTGACTGACTGACGGGCTGTCGGGCCTGGGCCGGGCCCGGGCCTCGCCCTCACGAGGCTGGTGTCGCCTGACGTGGTTTTGACTGTTGACGCGGGAAAAGTCACCAAAAACCAACAGCAGCCAATGGGGGCGGCAGGAGTGGCACAGAGGGCAGGGCGGCATCGGGCTGGGGAGGGGAGGGGGGCACAGAGGGCAGGGCGGCATCGGGCTGGGGAGGGGAGGGGGGCACAGAGGGCAGGGCGGCATCGGGCTGGGAGGGGGGCACAGAGGGCAGGGCGGCATCGGGCTGGGAGGGGAGGGGGGCACAGAGGGCAGGGCGGCATCGGGCTGGGGAGGGAGGGGGGCACAGAGGGCAGGGCTGGGGAGGGGGGGGGCACAGAGGGCAGGGCGGCATCGGGCTGGGGAGGGGAGGGGGGCACAGAGAGGGCAGAATCAGGGTTGGCAGTGACAGACTGGCACAGGTTAGGGCAGCATCTGTGGTGGGCAGCCTCCGGGCTGGGGAGAAGGGGGTGTTGGCTGGGCCTGGGCACGAGGCGGGTTCAGGGGGTGGGGAAGCGGAGGCGGTTAGGGACGGGGTCGGAAGGCACAAGTGGGAAATGGATAGTCGGCAACAACAGTGAGGAAATTAAACCGGTTTGACACTGGTTCACAGGGTCTGCGCCGCCGTGTGCAGTGCATCAGGTTGAAAGGTGTGCTTTTTCACTGCTCATTTTGCAAAAAGGGTCCGGATGACCGGTGCCCCCCTTTTTTTTGTCGAAATGGGACAGAGTAAAACTGGGTTGATAGTACTTTTGAAGCAATTTCATGCATTGCATTTTTAAAGCACTTTTAATTTGAGTAGATTGATTTTGGTAATATAGAAACAGGACCGGGACATCCAGCCCCTCGAGCCTGTTCCGCCATTCTATAAGATCATGGCTGTATGTGTACCTCAAGTCCAATTACCCGCCCTTGCCCCGTATCCTTTAATACCCTGACCTGACAAATCTATATCCACCTCAGTCGTGAAGATGTGAATGGATCCAGCGTCCACAGCCTTTCGAGGAGAGTGTTCCAGATTTCCTCTACCCGTTGGGTGAAAAAATGCCATCTAATTTCACTCCTAAATAGCCAAGCTCTAATTTTAAGATTATGCTCCCTTGTTCTACCAGAGGAAATATCTATCTACCCAATCCAATCCCTTTATTATTTTGCAAATGTCAATCAGATCACCCCTCAACCTTCTAAACACAAGGGAATAGAGACCAAGTTTATGCAACCTGTCCTCATAATTTAACCCTTTTAGCCCTGGTATCATTCTGGTGAATCTGTGTTGCACCCCCTCCAGAGTTAATATATCCTTCCTGAGGTGTGGTGCCCAAAACTGAACACTACTCCCAATGAGGTCTGACCAAGGCTCTATATAGTTGAAGCATCATTTTCTCATAATCCAGCCCCCTCGAGATGAGGGCCAACATCCCATTAGTCTTTTTGACAACTTTTTCTACCTGTGAGCTTGTTTTTAGTGATTTGTGTACATGGACACCCAATTCCCTTTGTTCTTCCACAGTTTGTGCTTTTAGTTAGAAATCGATCTGCTGTTTATATAATACAAATGTACTCTGATATAGAGCCTTTCAGGTCGGGAGAACATCTCAAGGCATTTAAAAGTCCAGGCTTGGCCCCCCGAATTGGTTGTGGGAGCAGATGCCTGAAGGTGTCAACGAGTTAGGTCTTGAGACTGACCTTGAAAGAGGTGAGAGTCGGAGTAACGCAAGGATGGAGTTCCAGAGAGTGGGGACACCGAGGCTGAAAGTCCGACTGCCAATTTAAGGGTGGATAAGGGGGTGGGGGCGTGAAGTAGGCCGGTGCCCACTGAATGAAGGGAGTGGCTGGGTCTAAGTATTTCTAACCTTTCTGTTTTATTTCATATTTCCAGTATTTATTAACAGTAATTTTTAGGCAGGAAGGATTTTAGTCCATCTAACTTTCCATACAATTCATTTGATATATCATTTAATAACCCAGGAACCTGTAGGTCCTTTGTGAAATCTTGTTCCATTACATATGATGGTGGTTCCACATGCCTGCCACTCCTTTACAAATAAAAATTCAATACTTTATATCCTCTTATCATAGTAATTTGAGTTTTTTTTTTCTTTTTATCTTCATTATAGGAATAGCTGATCCTTTGGACCAAGTTTAGTAAAACCTCAACATGAGCTATGTAATATTTTTGTAATACTTGAATTTAATATAGTGCCTTGAAACAATGTCTCAGAACTCCACACCATTAAGCTCAGTTACTTATTGTAGGCAGATAAGGCAAATAATTTACATTTGATGCATACCCAAGCAATATTGATACCAGACATTTAACAGACCATAATGAGGGCTTTTTGGAGGATTCAGATGAGGGAAGAATATTAATCATGACTTCCTCAATATAGTGCCTTGGATATTTTTAAATTGGGGGTCAATGATTTTAGGAGAGGAGATTGTGTTGCAGTGAATGTGTTACAAAAATCTATCAATGAATTAATTCAGGAATAACTAATCTGTCTTTGCTAGAACAATTGACCAGAGTTTGAAATTGGTCACTAGGGGCAAGATTTATCCCACTCAACACCCCATAGCCCTAATGGGTAGGTCGGTCATAGCTGCACAAGCAGTGGGAAGGTCATACAGTCAAAGATTTTGAATGGTTTGGTTGTCATGGTATAACTTATCAAACAGAATATTGGAAAAGAGCCACAATGAGCCAATGATTTATTTAAAACCTCAGGGATTTTGTCTGTGACTGAATTCTTGATGGAAGGTAGATTAGATATTGCTTCCAATGCTTGTATAGTAAAGTTTACAGCTGGAGACTTTTAATGTACTTCCTTTACTAGAGTTCTCAGAGAGCATAATTTAATGCCACGCCTGCCATCCTTAAATTTCTTTTTGAGTGAGATTACCAATTTAGTGCCAATTACTGTTCAATTATTGGAAGTGTGTGGTGAGAAATTGTCAGATACACCCAAGAGTTATGAGAGCACTAGGGAGGTGTTTTGCAAGTCCCAGGCTTGTATCTTCAAAAACTCCCTAATAATGGGTGACATTCCTTGGAAGTGACTGGAGAGAAGCCTTGTGATGCTTATCTTCAAGAAGGGAAACGTGGAAACTCATGGAGACTTGCTGAAGCATGGTGCAGTGGAAAGAACTGCAGCGTGGGGATAGGAACTTGTGCTGAACCGGGTTCTTACTTACTGCAAGAAATCCAGTCCGTGTTGAGTTTGTTCTCAATTGGAGTTGTATGGGAGGCTAAATTAGCCCCAGGAAAAGGAGGGAAGAAAACTCCCTGGGGTCCATGCTTCTTGTCCCTCTTCATCACCCTCTGCTGGTTTGTGTGTGCAGCAACAGGGTGGGGAGAGGTCAGGATGGGTGTGATTCCATGATGTAGTGTTCTATATAATCATCTTAAATCTTAACTTGAATCATGCCATTTGTTAAATATTAAAACACTTCTAATGTATTTTAAAGAGGTGTTTTAATGTATTTTAAAGACGGTGCTAATCTGCTGTATAGTCAGCCTGGTGATCCATGTAATTAATCAGATTTTATAAAAGCACTAATGAATATTCTGTATCTAGAAGAAGTTAAACCAGGAAACATATTTAGATGGTTAAGGTACCCAATTCGTGCAAAAGCATATCCATTGCCATTGCTTTGGCAGCAGGTTTGCAGTGATACTGCAAGGCTTGCCACTCGCACTCTGACCTCTCCATCCATGTTCTCCTACACTGTTCCAATAAGCCACAGCACCTCATTTATCTGGTTAGGGACCTTACTGCATTATTAACACCTCTCTAACCCATCATTCCCTGTCTTCTACCCCATTTTCTCCTTTGCCTTCCTTGCCCTGCCTTCCCCCTCTCTCTCAGCCCTTAAAATCCTCTCCCTCCCAACATGCCCCAGTTCTGACGAAGGGTCGTGGACCCGAAATGTTGACTCACTTTCCTTTCTGCGTAGATGCTGCCTGACCTGCTGAGTGTTCCCAGCGACTTCTATTTTTGTTTCAGATTTCCAGCATTTGCAGTATTTTGTGTTTTGCAGTGAAGTCTTTTCTTTTGTGTGTCTCACAGTATCAACACTTTGCCTGGCTCCTGTGTACAAAGACACTCTTTCTCCCTCTCCTCCCACACTCATTCATTCCAACTCCAAGATTGCTCATTTTTAACAGTTTTATACAATACACCTGCCAGGAACTGGATTGAAACTTTTATTTCACCAACATAGGCGGGATTTCAACTTAGGTGGAGTTCCACTGTTGTGCATGTCACCTTTGAGACATCTCAATGATGTATTAAGACACTATATCAAATGCAAGGATTATTATTATTTACCTCAACCCCAAGGAGTCCCTGACCCCATTCTCTTCCCTTCCCACCCCCCTGTACAGAAAGGGCACTGCTTGCAGCGAACCTCAAATCAAAATTAACAAATAACGATTGCATTTAGCATTGCTCCTTTTGGGCCGGCACATTGCTGAATATACGAACATCCATCCTACTCTCTCATTACAGTGTAAGCAGCAACAAGTTAATGAAAGTCTTGCACTTACTCTTCAGTTTTTTCAATGAAGGCTTCAGCTGCTTTTGGATCATTCTTCAGAAATATTTGATAAGGGCTCAAAGATTTTACAAATCCTAAGGCCCATGATATTGGTATCTTGCGAATGCTGGAAACATTGTCAACTCTAAAAGAGAAAATACAAATAAATATCAACTTTGAAGCACACTATTGTGGAGTCCTGTAGCTCAGTGGTTGGAGCACTCACCTTGCAAGCAAGAGACCTGGGTTTGATTCCCAGGCAAAGTGGACCTTTGGGCAAGTTTCCTTACTCCACACACCTCCACAGGAGCAGGAAGTAGGAATCCGTTTGTTAGTCGATTGGTGGATCACTTTTCTGGGAGTAATAATTCCTTCAAAAAAAATAGTAATAATAAATTGGTCACAAAATCCATGATTGTTTGCGGATGTTTTCCAATTTTTTTGCAGAATCCGCCACAAACCCCTCTGCTACATCTGCACCCATCCCCTACACACACCCTCTCCCCAAATGAGCCACTGCATCAGAGTGTCGACCTAGACTTTCAGGTCAAAGACACATTATGGGGCATGAGTCCACCGCCTGAATATGAGCAATTAATTATTTACTCGACAGATTGAAGACATCATGGTGCTAGCAGGCATACAGCAAATCACAAGTGGTGGGAAAACGTAAACTGAAGAGAAAGATTTCATTTTAAATTCATCTGAAAGTTATTATTTAAAGAGCTCAGTGGATCCATGTAAAACCACGATTTGTGAACGGAGAAAAGTTAATAAAGAACTAATTTCTTCTTTCCAAACCTCCCGTGATTGTTTTTTGAACAGATTTTTTTCTCATGTCACAGTTTCTATAAATTAGTGTAAATTGATTCTGAGAGAATTTCTGTGCTGCAATTTACGGGCAAGGTCCCAGCAGTCAGAATCTGGAAAAGGATCAAGGCATTTTGAAGCATTTTATTACTTTTAATCTGTATCAACAGAAACTCACAATTGCCTTTCTAAATATTTTGTCTGATTCATTTGAATCCACAACTCACTGATTCAGAGGCAACTGAGCCACGCTGACACTTGATTGATTTTATGCTTACTGACTGTGAGAAGCAAACACTTTCTACACATCACCCGGTTGTATCTTATTACATTAAATGCTCACCTTTTTCAGGAGATAGTCGAGGATGAGGTTCCGGATTGCTACAGGAGGAGGGAACCTGTACTTCTGATACAAGGCAACATGTCTTTCTCCTTCAAACAATCGCATAGACATAGTGATTGGAAAAACAGCAATCCTCTCTCTGTCTGACAGATCCCTGCTTCTGTGAGAAGTTGCTTGGTGAGTCAATAATTTAACTTGCAAAGGACAATAATTACATTATTTTACCATTATTATTTTATTTTACCATTAAAATATACAGTCAATTCACTTTACAGTATATTCAGCGAAGCGCTTTGAGACATCTCGAAGATGTGATAAAGCACTATATCAAATGCAAGGATTATTATTATTTATTATTATTCAAAACAAAAGAGATATATCAATGTTGCACTATATTTTTTGACTATGTCCCAGCACTGCCTGACTCATGACAGTACACAAAATATATTGGTTTAGTTGGCAAACTTCAGACACTGACTTGCACTGGCCATCGGAGTAATTGAATAGTAGAATTCTAACACACTCCTGCCCTCTTACGATGTCTGAATTGTTCCTTTGGCTTTTTGCTGCTATTATATTATTTCATGGCTGTTTTGTGGGACTTTTCTGTGCATAAATTGGCTGCTGTGTTCACCCACAAAATGTTTATCGCTTTTACCCTGTGAAGAGATTTGAGATGTCTCAATGACATGATCAGTCTTTATATCACATGCACAGATTATTAATTATTATAATTTTCCTAGTTTTTAAAAAGAGAGCAATATTTGGTATGGATGGTATGTTTGAGAGGCTGAAGGCTTGACCACTGGTGGGCCAGGCAGGGTATATGGAACAGGAGCCCGCTGAGCAGAGGAAGCAGAAAAGTCTATATGGACTACCTCCAGAAAAAGGTGAGTGTTTAATGGACAGAAGCGTGATGATTGAACTGAGAGGAGAGGTGAAGCTGGAGGATAGAATGGTCGACAGAGTCGAAGGTGACAAAGAGGTCAAAGAGAACAAGGGACGGGGAGATCTGGTCACAAGTGGACAAAATGTTGGTTATCAATTTGACCAAGGCTTTTTCTGTACTGTACCTGTACTGCCTTCCTGTTTGGCCGTGCCTTTGGTCATCTTTCCCCTCCCATCCCTCTGGGCTCCCACTCTCAGCTCCGGTGATAGTCAGGACTATCAAGTGCCTCCGGACATGAAAATGCAAGGGGGCCATAAATGTAAATGTGTATTGTAATTTGCATTGTACTCATTAAGCAATGTACAATACTTAACGTTTATTTCTCATCAGAAAAAGGCTATACATTTACAACTAAAAATAAAAAATCAGGGGGTGGGTGGTATACTGCATCCAACAAAACATTTAAAGTTTGAAAAATAGGTAATTGCCACAGAGGAGCCTGAATAGCTTGCATGGTGTGACAAAATGTGAAGTTAGAATCAGCCAAAAAGGACTTGCCATTCAATATGCATTATCCCCAAGAAGAAAAACTTAACAATAGACACAGGTTGGTCCAAACAAGTTTCCTACTAGAACAAGAGTTCGATCAATCTAACTTTACTACTAATTTACAGATTTGTAATGAAATTATTTTTAATATTTTGGCTATTATAGTCTTAGAGAATAGTATAGGTATTAGTGTTGTGTTTTCTATATTACATAATCAAATTTCTTTTGACCAACAGCAACTTGCACTTATATAATGCCCTCCACGCAAGGTAGCGTTCAAAATGGCAGAGTCTGACTTCAAGCCGGGAGTGGGGGTGTTGGGGGGGTGGGGGGAAGTGGCCGTTTTCAGGTGGGACTTGAAAGAGGGGACAAGGCGGAGGGATTGAGAGAGAGTGTTCCAGAGTTTTGGGGGCGTAGTGGCTGAAAGCGCAACCTCTGATGGTGGGGTGGAGGGTGCGAGGGACAAGCAGGAGGCCGATGCTAGTCGAGCGGAGGCGCCAGGTGGTGGATTGGGGAATGAGGAGGATGACAGAATGACAGAAAATAAAATCAGGAAAACAAATACATAACTGAGGAATTATTTAACAAGGTCCATTTGTACTGATTGTCAGAAGGTGACATACACCAGTTGTTTGTATTTTGTTTTGCAGCATTTGCTCACCTTTTTCTGCAGATAGTCGAGAATACAATTTCAGATTTCATCAGGAGGCGAGAACCTGTACTTCATGTTCCATTTCCTCAAAAAATTGCATAGACATGTTTGTCTGTAAACGAAAAATCTCTTTTCTGACAAGGAATCTCCAGTCGACAAAGTCCAAGAATCCTATTTCTCTTGGAAAGAGACGGGAGCTTGAGAATGAGAAATAAACACTTGCTTGTTTTTAAAAATAGCCAATCAACAAAAACAACAACAACTTGCATTTATATAGCACCCTTCAAACACGTTAGCGTCTTGGAGCACTCAACAGTGGCTGAGACTGAAGGGAGATGACCATAAGTGCGGTCTTCAGGCATGATCTGAAAATGGGAAAGGAAGTGGGGAAGGCGGAAGCTGCAGAAAAGGCATTATTACCTAATCCGGAGAGATACAGTGGCTTCATCTCATTAACTTATTGAGTCCGCTCTCTCAAAACAACAGGCACCCTGGGCTGCATTTGTACCCAACATGATTTCCACATTCATAACTTCATTTTCTTTTCAATCAACAACAGCAACAAAATTAAATTTTTATAGCACCTTTCATGCCAGGAGGATTTCCCAAGGCGCTGGACACTCAGTGTTTTGGACCTGAGCTGGGGTTCGGGATCGGGTAGGGTGGAGGGCAGGGTGATCAAAAGCACGGTGGAAGAGGAGGGTCTTGAAGAAGGCGAGGCGGAGGCCCTGCGGGATGGAGTTCCAGAGGGTAGGGGCAGAGTAGCAGAAGGCTCGCCCACCAATAGTGGGGCGAGCGAGGCGCAGGATATGAAGTGGGCCGGCAAGGCCACCGAGTATCACAGGCAGACACAGTTTCTTTGGCTTCTGCATACCCAGAACATCTTGCTACACATCCCTTTTCTTACATAACTGCACCAGACAAAAGCAAGGACATTAGATAAGGAAAGCATCTAGCATAGTTAAGAAAGTCACTTGTGTACAATTATCAACAGGATTTCATTTAAAGGTACAATAACAAAATTACATTTGTAAAACGCCTTACACGTCGGGAAGATGTCCCAAGGCGCTGGACAGACAGAGTTACAGAGCTGAGCTGGGGGTTGGGGTGGGGGTGGGTGGAGGGCAGGGGGGGGAAGCAGGGAGATTGAAACAACAGTACAAATATTCAGCAATTTTTCATTATAGGCAAAATGCATAGCAATACAACAGCACAACTCAACAGAGTTTCATCAGGGATCCCTAACTTAAGGCGTCTAACAGAAATACCTTTTCTTCTTCTTCTACACTGGAAATATACAACTCTGATGGCCGTAAATACTTATTTCCATAATATTTATTTTCATAAATTATCTTCTGAATATAATATTTCAATCGGTCTCTCTCTGAGCTGACTCAAGAGGAGACTTCGTAGAGATGTACAAAAGTTGAAATGGGATTGAAAAAGTAAATCCAGATCAGAACGTTTATCAAAGCAGTAGAACAAGAGAGCATTTAGTGTTGTAAAGGGCAATATTAGGACAGACACCAGGAAGCTGTTCTTTACCCACAGGGTAATCAACAACTGGAACAGGTTGGCCAGGAAAGGTGGTAGAGGACAGACACTGGACTCATTTAAAAAGCAGCTTGATGCATTGTTGTGGAGGATGTTCTGGAAGGCTGAGATTTTAAACTAAATCATCAATAAATACAAACATAAGGTTTGGAGACTGCGTAGTAAGTTAGAACACTGCACATTTCACTACTTGAACTAGCATTTCTATGTAATGTAGGATAGTGGAATTAAAGTTTTTTTTCTTTCTGCTCCTTGAGGGACAGAACTTGCTCTTTGGTATCAGAAGTACTTTTTCCCTCCTGCTGCTCGAATCTGAAACCTCATACTCAACTTCATTACCTATACAACAACAACAACAACAAGATTCCATTTATAGAGCGCCTTTCACGTCAGGAGGACGTC